GCCGCCCCGCCCCCGCCAACAAACAGCGCGTTGCTGGGCAACAGGGGCTGTGCCCCGTGGACCCGGGTTCGAGCCCCTGTCGCGATTTCAGGAGCGGCCTGGGGCTGAAATGAAGGGTGGGGCGGGGAGGGTTGGTTGTCATGGTGACTGTGACCTGTGACCTGCCCCCCCCCCAAATGGCTAACGCTTACTGGGCAAATCCATGTCCAAACCCTGTGGATCTAATCATGGATTTGGGGTCCCCTGGAGCCCTCGATGGTTCCCAGGCTGGGGGAACTGAGTCACGGTGTCAATTTCCTCTGCTATTGGAGGCCAAGCCCAGGTTAGGGGGTTGTGCATCGTTTCTCGGGTCCCTGTCTTTGGGTTCAAACACAAGGTCTCTTCCCTGGGGGCCATGCATGCGTGGGTGGGAAGGCCGAGGGCCTGGGGCTCCAGGGCTCACCGAGCCCTCCCTGACTATTGTGCCAGAAGGCAGCAAGAGGGGTTCCCCCATCCTGGGCCCAGGATCTGTCTCACTGGGGATACACAGCACCTGCTAGTGATCCCCCTCACCTGGCCTTCAGAATGTGTAAGCACGTAAGCTGGGTGGGGGGAAGGATGAGGCGGGAGGGTCTCCAGGGTTTAAAACCAGCCTGCATAGTGGGTGCCAGGCCAGCCCGAGCTATACTGTGAGGCCTGAAGAACCCAGAAACCCAGAACAAAGAAGAAATGTGTGGGTGTCCAGGTGCCCTCCAAAGAAAAGGTGCAGCCTTGGCCCCCGGAGCCCTGAGCTTCCCTTCCGGGTGACACCCGAGAAAAGTTCAGTTTACCCAGTGATGGACTCAGTCACTTACATGCAGGAGGTGAGAGAGGACCTGGGGGGTGGGAGGAGAATGCTCAGTAGGGTGCAGTGGGCCATGATTTTGGGAGGCTGAGGCAGGAGGGTCTCAGGTTTGGGAGCCCAGGCTGGGAAATGTGGTGACTTAGTGAGACCCTTTTTAAAAATTAAAAATTAAAAATTACATTAAATTAAACTTTTAAAAGGCTGAGGATGAATTCTGGTACCAGAAAGAAAAAAAAACTGAAAAAAAAAAAAAAAAAGAAGGGTCTGGGAGGATGGGCAGGAATTTGAAGGTGGGGATAAAGCAGCAGAAGCAGGTTGGGGGGGGCGGGGGCCAGGGGAGGCCATCAGGAGACCCCTGTGGAGAGGATGGATGGCCGAGGTGGGACCCAGGCAACCTGGCTGGGGTGTGGGGGGCAGAGGAGATGGGTGTGAGGGTCCGTTTGGCTGATTTTAAAAAAAAAACCGATAAATTTCAATTTCAAATACTGAACAGGTAAACTCCTTTACTGGGAGACTTTTTTGATTATCACTATGTTCCAAGTATTGCATGAGAGACTCTTATAAAGAAGACCCGTGTCTCTGAAATAAAATGGAACCAGTTCTCCGTGTGTGTGTGTGTGTGTGTGTGTGTGTGTGTGTGTGTGTGTATTATTTTGCGTTGTCTTTGATTTTTTTTTTTTTTTTGTCTTTTTCCTTTTCATCGGTACCGGGGATCAAACTCACGACTGCCTTCTTGCAAGGCAGGCGCTTATGCCGCTGAGCTAAACCTCCAGCCCCATCTTTGATTTTTTGAGACAGGAACTCCCCATGTAGCCCAGGCTGGTGTCAGACTGGAGGAGACCCTCCTGCCTCAGCCTCCTGAGTGCTGAGATTACAGGAATGCGGTACCACACCTGGCCTGGCACTGTGTTCCGTGGTAACCGCACTTGGAAGGGTTCTCAGAGGTTCCTGGGGTTGGAGAAAAAGGCAAAGATGGCACAAATGCACAAATCAGTTTTCAGCCATGCTGGGGTGAGTAGAGGAGTAGGGTCTTGCACCCCCAAGACTGAGCAGATGGGCTTGGAGTGGGCACCGCTTCCCGCTTTCATTTTACAGATTGATAAACTGAGGCTGGTTTGGTCAGTGCCCTGGGGCCCAACAGGCGGCAATCAGCGCCAACCGCTCTCCCCGGATGCAGTGGGGACCCCCGATGCCCCGGCCTCCCAGACCTTCTTCCCGCTCCCTGGCCCTGCTGGGCCGCGTCTACGCCCGCGGGTGTGGGGGGCCGGGTTATTTTTACCCTGCTCCAGGCCGCCGGGCGACAGGAAGCGCGCGGCTGCCAGATGCAGCAGCCGGGCAGCTGGGAGCCGCCGCAGCTGGGCCGGGGCGGGGCGATCGGGCCGGGCCTGGGGTCCCCCTGCTCCTGCGGGGACCCCGAGCCCGCTCTGGCCCGGGGCTCGGGCCGCCTCGCTCGCCCCATCCGTGCGCCCGCGCCCTCGGGGCTCCGGGACTCTCTGGGTCCCGAAGGGAAGGGGGAGCCCGTATCGGGGCCCCGGGGTCCCCGCCGCCTTGGGGTGCAGGACGCAGCCGCCCGCCCGGCCACCATTGTTTACCCGGCGGCTGCTCCTAGGAAACTGAACCCGCCCGCGGTAATTTTATTTGGGAACTTCGGACGGTTGCCATAGCAACCTCCAGTGACGTCAGAGGGGCTGAGGCCCGAAATCCCCGGGAAAAGGGGAGAGGGGGCAACGGGGTGAAGTGGCGAGCCCCCAGAAGGGCTCCTCTTTAACCCTCCTCATGCCAGCCCGAGCCGCAGAGGCCAGGCTCACGGGACACTTTTGGGGCGGCCCCTGTCCCGGCCGGCGAGGTGCCAGGTCAGGGTGGCCGGCCAGGCCTTGACGTCACCGAGCTGGGTGAGTCAGGCCGATGGGGGCTGGGCCGGGCCTGGGGGCTGTGTCCTCGGCCCTGGTGACCCCGTCCTGTCCTTGGGGAAGGCTGTGGGGTGCCCAGCTGGGGGTACCCCCAGCCCCATCCCTCCTGGGCCCCTGAACCCTGGTAGGAGGCAACCTCCTGTCCAGGCTGGGGACGCTGGTCTGTCTGTGGCTGTTGGATGCAGAGGTTCGTGGCGGCCACCTCCGTGTCCTTGCCCGGATGTGGGCAGTGGCAGTGCCTGGTGCGGGGGTAGGGACCCGGGATCCTATGCAGCCCACAACACAGCCAGTCGTCAGGGAGACGGGAGCCAGGGGCCCCGCCTGGGCCTGCGCCAGCCGCCAGCCAGGCCCGGCTGGGGCGGGGCCACCCTGACCACAGTGACGTGGGACTTCCTCGGCAGGCCTGTTTGATGTCTCTGTGTGCCGCGTTGCCATGGGACCCGGCAGGCGCCCCTGCGTGCGAGCAGGGTGACCTGTGGGACCCAGTCTCAGCAGGATCCTTAACCTGTGCACCTGGTTGGCCTCCCAAGTGTGTCCTGGAGCTGCCAAGCAGTGTCACAGATAAAGAATCTGACACTCAGGGACATGTGAGCACTTGGCCAGAGACATTCAGCTGGAAAGTTGGGGGAGCAGGAGGAGAAACTTCCCTTTTCCTCCATTCTGCACCCTTCTCCTGACCCACATCAAATGGTGCTCTGTACTGCTGCCCAGTATACCCAAGTGCATGCCCCAGGGCCTTTGCACCAGCTGTTCTGGGTGCTTCCTGGATATCTGCTCCTCCCATGGCTGCATTGTCTCACCTGAGCCCCTCCTCATCTCTTGTGCCCCCACCTTAGCACCCAACATACTGTGTTTTATACCCACGTACCCCCGCCATAGATGGGCACCTAAGGGCTGTCTTTCTGCTTATTCCCTGTGTGACCCTGGTGTCTGGAACACACAGTACATGACAGGGACTCAGTGGACAGCAGTGGAGGTGGGTGGCCAAGACCACTTGGCCACTGGCCTGGCCTTGACTTGGTCCTGTCCCCGATGCCTTTTGTGATAGGACACAAAAATCGACAGGCCACTTTGACAAGCTGTCATGGCAGGGTGGGGCCTTGAGGGGGTGAATGCAAGGGAACCCGCAGGGATGGCTGGAAGTCTGGGAGCCCCTTCACGCTGGTGCTGGGTTGGGGCGGGCTCCTGCAGGGTAGAAGTTGCTTTCATCCAGGTACAGTGGTGCCCTGAGAGGCTGAGGCAGGAGGATGACCTCAAGTTCCAGGCCAGCTGGGCTACACCCCAAGACCTTGTCTCAAGAAAAAGATTAAAAAGTCACTCTCTACTTCTGGGGTGACCAACGTATACTCCTGTGCAGGTCCTCGGGGGACCCCAGAACTGCCCCGGAGACCATCCTTAGGAGGCTGCGTTCCCACCTTCCAGCCCTGCCCCGAGCTGGGGAATTCTGTGCCACCCAAGCCCTCCGCCCAGGGCCCCATGGGCGTGGAGGCTCTGCCCCAGCCTGCCGGATCCTGCCGCTCCCCCTGCAGGAGAGAAAGCTGGGGAGCCCCAGGCGTGGGCCCCACAGTAGCAGCTGGGTGTGGCCTCCTGGAGACCCCCACGTAGGAGCGAGGGACAAAAGGGGACACTGGAGGAATCCTGGGAAGTGAGGTGACACAGAGGTGTCCAACCTGTCCCTCCGGTCCGGGTCCCCTGCCCAGGCTTGCTGCTGGGCGGCCCCCTCCTCAGCACCCTTAGAAAGGAGGGAGCCCGCTTGCTCCGGGTAGGCTCCCAGGATGGGGTGGCTTGGGAAGTGGCCCCACCTCGGGACCACCTAGGTCAGGGCAGGGTCTCGCGGATCCCCCGTGGCACCGTGGTGGACAGGTTGGTGGCCCGGACAGGGCCCGGCCTCCTCCAGCCTCGGGAGGCTGCAGTGGCGGCCGCGGAGCCCGGGAGCTGCGGGGCGCTGAGCCCCGGCGCGTCCCCCACCTGGGCTCAGGGCCAGGCCCGAGCAGGGCCCGGGGTCGGGAACAATGGCCCCGTGTTCCTAGTGCAGGGGAAGCCGGGGCGCGCGGGGCGGGGGCGACGCACGGAGGAGGGGAGCACCCGGGCAAGCTCCCGGGTGCGGGGTGCTGGGGTCCCCAGGAGGCGGGTTGGCGGACGCCCCCGAGAGCGCGCTCGGGCGCCGGGGTAAGCGGGGACTTTTTGGGGCGCGGCGTGGGCGGAGGCGCCCGGGACCGCGGTCCACGCGGCTCCGCACCGGGACCAGGAGAAAAAGTTGGGCCTAAACTGGGGGTGCGGGCCGCGCCGGCGGGGGTGTGTGTGCGTCCCGGCGCCGCCCCGCCCCGCCCCGCCCCCTGGCGCCGCGAGGTTTTAAAGCCAGGGCCCGGCGGCCGGCCGGCAGCAGTGGGGCGCGCGCCGCATGCGTCTCGGGGTCCGGCCGGCTCCCTTCCTCCCCGGTAAGTCGGGCGCGGACCCCAGAGGGGACCAGGGGACCCGGGGGGCTGCGCGCGGAAGCGGCAGCAACTTTTCCGCGCCGGCGTCGCGGGCGGAGTTGGAGATGCGCCGGGGGGTGGGGGAGGAAATCCTTGATTCTTGCCAGGCAGGGCGGCGCGGCGGGGACTTGGGGGGAAGCCAAGAAGGGGCCTTTGGGCGACAGCGACAGCTCTGGGGTGCTCCCTGAGGATGGGGAAGGGGCGCATGGCCCTGAGGCCCCAGGGGACCCACTGGGTCTTGCTGGGAACGCAGAGGTCAGGTCCCTTCCTGCCTTGGAGTGGGGCTTGGACGTGTGGAGCTGGGTACTCACAGGGGCTCCCCAATGTTTCTGAATGAGAGTGGTGGTGTCATTTTCAAGTTCTTGACAACTTGGGGTGAGTGGAGGGATGGTCTCCCGTGGGGAGGGCCGGGTGGCCCCAAAGGCAGCTGGGGTTCGGGGTGCCTCTGCCTCCCAGATGCGTTTGTTCCCCTTGGAGAGGGCCAGGGTCCCCTGAAGGCTGGCTCCCCAGCCCCTTGCACTACTGGAGGAAGGTGAGGTGCCCTGGCTGAATCACGACTCCTGCATGGCTGCCTCCGAGGGCCTTCAGGTTCCCCCCTGTGCCTTGGCACCCCCAAGCCCAGCCCTGACCTTCCTGCTGCCCGGTCAGACAGGCCCAGCGCCTGCAGAACGCGGGGAGGTGCCCTTGGCCGGCTGTCCCCGGCCCCTTCCCAGCCCGGCCCACTGCCCGCTGGTGACGGGGGTCTCGTGGCCTTGGCAGTCTCGTCTGTGCCAGCCCAAGCTGGAAGACAGTGCCCAACAGGTGCCCGGCTGGGCGCGGTGCTGGGGACACGCCCTGGGCGTTCGCCCACGCGCCTGCCGGGCCAGCCCGGGCACATGCGCTCCTCGCCGGCATCCTGGGAAGGCGCGCGCCCGCGGCCCGGTGCCTGCTTGTCCCGGCGTCCAGGAGGGGCCTGGCGCCCCCTGTGTTAGGGTGCCCTCAGGGAGCGCCCTTACGACCCCAGCTGGCAGCAGTCCTTGCCCACGGGCCTGGAGGGGCCCTAAAATAGCTGCCGGCTGGGCCCGAGCTGGCACGCAGAGGCCGTGCGTGACAGGGCGTGTCCGGGGGTCGGGCCTGTCTGTGCTGGCCCGGCCTCCACGCCTCTGAAGATTCCTGCTGCAGGGCAGAGAGCAGAGGTGCGCGCTCTGGGGTCCTCCAGGGACCCCACATCCAGGCCTGGTTGCAGGTGGGGCCCAGACATTGTGTGGGGGCTGCAGCTGTGCATCTAGGTTCCTGGGGCGACAGGCCCGGTGCGGACCAGGGGCCATCTGCCTGACCCTGCCATCCACGTGGGACTTGGCCACCCTTTCCAAGACAGCCTTGCACCTTGTGTGGGGTCCATCCCTAGAGAATGAGGCTGTTGGGAACACTGGTGGTGGGACATTGTACTTTTTATTTTTAGGGTGAGACAGGTTTCACACGAATTCCAGGCGGGCCTTGAACTCACTGCAGAGCCCAGGTTGGCTTCAGAGTCGCATTGCTCCTCCCGCCTCAGCCTCGCCAAGGCTGGGATGACAGGCGTGTGGTGCCAGCCCTGGCTCCGCTTGGGTGTCCTCTGTGCAGGGCCCAGGACGACCATGGGACCTCCATTTTATGCATCACGAATTGGGGTGCGTTGAGATGAGAGAAGAGCCAATGCCTCACCCCCTCCTGCCTAGGCCCTGGGTGCCACGCTCTTTGGGGACACCCGGGTCCCTTTCTCCTCCTCTGTCTGGGGTCCGGGTGCACCTCAGGATGCATCCAGTCACCTGGAGGACACACGAGAGAGGGAGGAAGAGGGGTGTGGGAGTTCTGGGGAGAGGGGGATGCACCATGCTGGGCGCAGCTGAGTCACTCCGGTGGCGCCACCATGGGTGTGGTCACTGCGCTTCCATGGCCTGCGGCCGGGTGGTCCGGGTTGGGCACCTGGTGGCCAGGGGCAGCCAAGTGGCTTCTGAAATGCTGGTCCTGCCAACCAGGACCATGGGCAGGGACACCCCAGAAGTACCAGTCCAGGGACACAAGCCATGGGTCTATGAGAGGTTGGGGTATCCTGAAAGGGGGACAGAGGCCTTTGGAAACCGGTTACAGCAGGGCGGGGTGACTGAGGCACACCTGCCATCCCAGTACACTGAGAGGCTGAGACAGGAGGATCACAAGTCTGAGGTCAGCCAGGGCAGCGGAGAACTCTTATCCAAGAAAAAGGTGGGGCTGGAGATGTAACTCAGGTTGAAGGGTGTGGGTCCAGCTCCCCCCCTCGGCCCTCAAAAAAAAAAAAAAAGAAAAAGCCATCTACTGCCTCCTAGGGTGGCAGCCTACGGCCAGGGCACAGCAGAGGTGGCCACATGGTAGTAGTGGGACCTCGAAGGAAAGGCCGCCCTGGTGGGTATGGGGGTGCCTCTGGGGCTCTGTGATTGGCTCCAGTGTGGAGGGGCCACACCTTTCACGTGGCTTATTTTTAACAGATGACTCAGGGCATCCTTCTCCATCCCGAGCCTGCCCCCCCAGCCCTGGGTGGGCCACGGCCCCCCCGCAAGTGCCCTGCCCCTCCCCCACAGCGTGCTAAGCCTGACAGTGCCCTGCCCTGGGAGACCCCCTCCTGGTCCTCCTTGCCCATCCCATGGGGCGGGATTTGGGGGAGGGGGCAGTGGTCAGGCCTGGCGCCCCTTCCTCTGCGCTGGGCTGGCCGGGCTTCTGGAGGAGTCTGGGCCACCAGGAGACGCGGGTGACAGGCTGGGCGGACGGCAGGGCGGGGCCTGCGGGCCTTGGTATTTTCCGATCCCAGCTGCTGTGAGGGTGGAAAGTATTTGGGGATCGGGCCTGTGGGCTGCGGCGGGCGGCCGAGTCCCGGCGGAAGCCGTCCCCGGCGCGTTCCCGGCCGGCCCTGTGTGCGTCTGGTGCGTAGTGCGGCCCCCGCCTCCAGCCCCTGCACTCGTGTCCCCACCGGCCGTGGCCCTGACCTCCATCCCTGGCGCTGGCCTGGCGGGGGAGCCCGGCCCCCAGGACTGAGCCGGAGCCTGGACGAGAAGCAGTCCGGGCCCGGGGCACCTGCGTGGCCGCGGCCTCCCCACGCGGGACCGGACTCGCGCGCCTGTGGCGACAGGAGTGGCCTTGGCACGGCCCAGGCTGTGTGCAGGGGAAACCCCACAGGAAACGGACCCGGCCAAATGGCCGCCCTTCCCGTCCTGGTCCCTGGGACACGAAAGAGCTGCCTCACTTCCGGAGGCAGCTGGGGAGGCCGCTCCCAGCTGACCCCCAGGGCTGGGGACAAGGCTAGGGCCGGGGTGGCTGGGGCGCAGGACAGCTCTCACTGGCCGCTTCGCGGTGGCCGGGACCCTCGATGTGAACATTGGGGTCCTGCCTGCCTGTGTGGTGGGAGCCTCATTTCCACCTTCTGGCTGCTTTGCACTGGGGGCTTGGTGACAGTGCCACTCTGTCCTGATGACACACATGACTCATGAGGTCTCGCTGCCAGCCGCTTCCCAGCAGATAACTGGTGTGCCTGGTGTGCAGGGGACAGAGGGCTGAGGGAGCCACCCTGGGCTGGGGAGCGGATCCAGCGGAGTGGTGCAAAACCCAGGCCCCTCCGCCTTGGACTGCATCGGGGAAGCCTTGGATCTGGTTGAGTGTTTTGCTGCAGATGTGAAATCTGCTCAGGGGTCATTTTTTTGGCGCTGGGATGGAACCCAAGGCCTGGCACATGCTGCACACCCAGCCCTGGCTATTCCTAAATTCCAGCTGTGAGTGTGAGGCAGACTTGGGAGGCTGAGGCAAAAGGGTCGCTACAGAGCTCCCGGCCAGCAATGTGAGCTCAAGCCTGGACTACACAGTCAGACCCTGCTTCAAAAAAGCGAAAACTTCTTCATTTGCACATTTCCGTTCCTCACCGCTGCACAAATTCATGGGCCCGCACCTTGCATACTGGGTGGCAGGACTATCCTTCTAGGACGCCCGCTGGGCGGCCTGGTAGCAGCTCTCACCTTGGTTTTTACAGGTGGAGAGACAGAGGCTCCCATGGCACCTGGGAAGCTGCATTCGGGACTTGCACTGGGGTCGGTGCTTGGGGTCCTGAGTTAGGTGGCAGTAGATGCCCAGCCTGGACCCGGCCTTGGAGGGGTGAGGGCCACAGGGGGAGGCCTGGTGGTTTCCTCCTGCCCTTCAGGCTTCTAGGAAGTGGCGCCGGCAGGGGTGAGATCACTTCCTCACCCGCCTGCCCGCCCCCCCTCGGCTTCCTCTCCCCTCAAGTGGCCCCATTTGGCTGCCGGGACTCGGGGTGGGAGGCTGGGGGGGGGGGGTGGCGTGTGGGGCAGGGGCAGGGGCGGGGCGGGCCGGGGCGGGCCGGGGCGGGCCGGGGCGGGCCCACCCCAGCCCTGCAGCGGTAAGACGGGCATCTGTCTGTGCCATGGGCTGGGACCCCACGTGGGCAGCGTTCCTCCAGCCCCGTCACCTCCTATGCTCTTTCTCTCCTCAGGTGCCAGCCTCTGCCCCGCCCAGGGCCCCTGCCCCCGTGCCACGGTCAGCTGGGGTTCCTGGGGATGGGATTTGCTGTCTGTCACAAATCACATTGCCAGGGATTTCCAACTGACCCTGAGCTCTGCCTCCAGGGCCACCAAGGATATCTGACTGCACCAGGGGACAAGGAGGTCGAGAGGGCCACTGTCACCATCACCGCCACGTCACCACCGCTGCTACAGCCCTGGTTGCCTCCACCAGGCCCGAGGAGCAGGGCTTAGCTGCTTGTGAGCAGGGTTCCCACCAGGCGTGTTCACAGTGGCTAAGTTCCGTCCCCCGGGCCCCGCCCTCTGCACCTCCACCCCCAGCACCACGGTGCCACTACTGCTGGGCCGGGCTCTGCCTCCTGTACCTACTGAGCTGAAACACAGTTGATTTGTGCAGACTGGCTCAGTTCAGCAGGAACAGGGGTCAAGTCCCCTGGAGCCCGCTGCTGGCTGGCTGTCCCAACTCAAGGACCAGATGGGCTCATGGGAGGGGGGTCTGGGCGGCTGCTGCCCCTGGCCAGCACACAGGTCCCTACCTTGTGCAGACTGGGCTGCAGTCCTGGGGCAGACAGATGAGTGGGTAGGTGGCCCTTCCTGATGAAAGGAAGCGGCCGAGCTCCCCTGGGCCCAGCGCCTCAGCCCTGCTTTTCCTATTTTGTGAGATAGGGTCCCCTTGTATAGTCCAGGCTGGCCTTGAGCTCACTGGGTAGCCTTGGCAGGCCTCCTGCCTCAGCCTCCTGAGTGCTGGGATGACAGGCATGTGCCACCACGCCCGGCTCAGTCCCTCCTCCCCTAAGCCTGGCAGGGTGCTGCACCTTCTCGGCTGCCAGTTACTCAAGAGGAAGCTGCCTCAGGCCCCCTGACCGTTAAGTGCCAACTCCCAGCTTCCGGAACCAGCCGGCCTGACTTGGCCACATGTACCCAGTCCCTTCTCGCCCTGTGCCCTTTGGCTTCTTAATGGCACCTGCTCCCCCCCGGACAGGGAGCAAGCTCCTTAGGCCCAGAAGAGACAGGAGCAGGTGTTCCCATGCTAGGGCTGGGTCAGCCTGTGCTGCCCTCCTCAGTGGTCCTGGGCTTGGGAAAGGCGAACTGTGCCATGGCCCCGAGTCAGGTGGAGGGAGGGCTCCCCGGAAGGGGGCTGGGGAGGTGGAGGACAGTGTCCAGGCTGTCTGGGCCGGGGGTGGGGGGTGGGGTGGGAGCTCAGGCTGGAGAGGGCAGTGCTTGTATTGTGCACAGCAAAATAAATGTGGTCCTGCCCTCACCTCGGGGCACTGATGTCTGTGACTCACTTCTGTCCCTGGCCTGATGGTGTCAGCGTTGTTTTTTCCCTTGCGGAGCTGGGGGTGGAGGTCTGGGCCTGGTGCGTGCTGAACAGGCACTCACCACGAGGATTCCCGGGGTGCTACACTGCAGCCTTTGCACCCGAGCCCCACCTCTGTGATTCCTCCTGGGGACAAAGGGGACCGCAGAGCTGGGGATGAGGCCATGAGGGGTGTCCTGCGGTAACGCTCTTCCAGATGGGAGGGTTGCTGTAAATGATGCCTGGGCTGAGGGTACGGAGCCTAATTTGGGGTGGAGGTTGGGTCTGAGGGTGAGATGCTGAGACAACAGGACCTGGGGGTCTGGGAGAGATGTGGGGTGTCTGCTGAGGGTGCTGGAAGGTTTACTTTTGGGGGGGGGGCAATGTTATGTAGCCCAGGCTGGCCTCGGACTCCTGGTGACCCTCCTGCCTCAGCCTTCCTAGTCCTGGGATGACAGGCGTCAACTGCTAGCCCTGCTACAGAGGAACTTCGGCTGAAGTTGCACGCAGCACCAAGTGGTGACATGCGGGAGGCAGAGGACAAGTGCAGTGAGAGCACCCCGGGCCCTCACGAATCCCTCTGATCGCCGGTCCACCCGGCCCGAGCTGGGCAGTGCAAGCGGCCCGGGTCCTCCCCACGTACCTGTGCAAATGGGTGGGCGGGGCGGGAGGCAGGGCCGCCGCCAATTGGGTCCCTCGAGACCTGGGCGGCGCCTGGAGCCAATCGCAGTACCCAGCGCAGCCGGAGTCCCGCCCCCAAGCGCGCGCGGCTCCAGCGCCCTCTAGCGGCCAGTGGTTCCAGTGTCAGAGCCGCGGTCCTCGCTTGCCCGGACCCTGACACCGCGCCAGGCCCCGCCCTCTGCCCGGCCCGCTCCGCGCCGCGCGGGAGGTCCGGGAAGGAAGGCGGCTGTGGGGGGAATGCCCACCCCCAGAAGCCTTGCTCCGTTTGTGGCGTTAAGAGCCCAGACCTGAGCCCAGCTTGGTCGCGCACGCCTGTCATTCCAGCACTCAGGAGGCTGAGGCAGGAGGATCGCTGCGAGTGCGAGACCAGCCAGGGCTACAAAATGAGCTCAAGGCCAGCCTGAACTGCATAGGGAGCGGAGACCCCCTCCCCGTCTCTAAATAAATCAAGCAGGCAAGCAAGCCCGACGCGCCTCCGACACCCACCCCGCAGGCGTTTCGGCCCCGCCCAGTACCTGTGGGGCGCAGGACCCCTGTCTGGGGCTCCCCCTAGTGGCCACTCCCAGCGCACTGTCCCAAGGGCCAAGCAACTGGGATCGGGTTGGGAAATGGGGGCGCCGTCAGGTCTTACATCAAGAATCACTTGATGGTGCGTGGAGGGGGTGGGGTCGGCCCGTCACCCCAGGATGCACGCAGGAGGCTGAAGCAGGAGGATCGCCTGCAGTACAAGGCTAGACGGCGCTCCGTGGCCAAACGGCGCTCCGTGGCCAGACGGCCTGGAAACACAGCCGCGGACGACAACCCGGTTTGCAGGGGGGCTGTGGGACGCAGTCGGCCGAGGCCCTCTGCCTGCCGCCCTCCACCCCTCCCTGGATGCTGCGACCAGAAAGGAGGCTGGAATCCATCTTGTTTGGGAGGACCACGCACCGCAGTCCCCAAATAAAGTTTAAAAAGACGCTGTTTCATCATTTAAAAAAATAAGAACGAAAAAGAAAATACAACATAGAGTTCAAGAAATAGAAAAAAGTTGCAAAATGACACCACCCTCTTCCCCACTGTATAGGAGGAGAAAGGAGGGGGCGAGGGACCGGGCACCCCAGCCGGGCATGGGAGGCGGAAGGAGCCCCGGCCCGGCCTCAGGCCCTGACCTGTGCTCGTGGGCAGCCGCGGCACTGCCTAGCTCCTGAGCTGTCCTCTATCCAGTGCCTGCGGGAGGGGGTGGGCAGTGACGACCCCAGGCTCAGGCTCCCCATGGACCCTGGTGCCCAGGGGTCCCGGCTGGATCAGGGACTGAGTGTGAGCTATGTGGCCGAGCCCTGAGACCTTGTGAGAGCCTTTGTGGGGGTTCAAGACACTGGAATGGGGCCCCAGAGAAGCGAGGTGCAGGGGTAGGGTCCGGTGAGCTGCCTAAGCACACACCTAGCCGGAGTGCCCGGGTGGGGTGGCTTTTGCTCCTGTCTTGCGCACGTGTTTGTACGCTCCCAGACCCCCCGTCCCCTTCCCTAACTTTTTTTCTCTCGCTCTTTTTAAAAATCTTTTTGAGACAGGGTCTCACTGTGTGGTCTAGGCTGACCTTGAGCTCAGTTTGCAGTCCAGGCTGGTCTTGAACTTGCAAGGATCCTCCTGCCTCAGCCTCCTGAGTGCTGGCATGATAGGCGTGCACCACCATGCCCCTTCCTTGACTTAACGCGGACTCGGCCCACAGCAGTGCTGCCAACCGGGGAAGACAGGGCCTGGGGCTCCCCATGCCCTGAGTTCCTGGCCGCCCCACGGCTCAGCCAAAGCGCTCCCACACCAGTAGCATAAGTTTCTTCTTGCCCCCGTGGGTCTGCCTGAGGTCTGCAGGAGCCAGGAGAACTGCAGGTGACCGTCAGGGGCCAGCAGGAGTCTCTCCGGCCTCGCCCAGGAACTCCACGAAGTCACAGGAGCCAGTGGCAAGGAGGCAGCGTCAGGGGCTGGCACAGCAGTGCCCAGTCCATGCCCAGGGGCCTGGCAGTGCGCTGGGCCCCTGGAGGGCCGAGGCTGGGCGCAGGATGTTGGACAGCATCGGGATGCAGCTCACGCTGCGGATGACGCACAGCACGGTGCCCAAAAGCTCGTGGCTGCCCATGTGTGGCTCAGCGAACAGGCCCACAGCACATCGTGGCCGGCAGGGTGGCCGTCCTGGTTGAAGGTGATGCTTAGCTGAGCCAGGGCCAGCAGAGGCCTGCGTGGTGTCCATCACTGCCATGATGGTGGTCGCCTTCACCGGCCTGAAGAGAGAGCACCAGTTCCGCAAGAGGTGCACCAGGGCCTTGGGCCTGTGGACTGTGCGGGGCGGGGAGGACTCAGGGAGGCGGGACCGCAGCCTGGGCCACCCCCCACAGCAGCCGGGGCCACGCCCCACAGCGGGGTGGGGGCGCTCTGTCGTCACCCATCTCTGAAACGCTTTGCGGGGGGGGGGGGCACTGGGAATGGAACCCGAGGTCTTCAAAACCAGCTGCACACTCCGGCACCCCTTTTCACATTTTGTTTTAAATTTTGAGAAGACGCCTTGCTAAGTTACCTAGGCCGTGTCCCATTGTGGGATCCTCCTGAGTCAGCCTACCAGATGTGGCGCAGTGGCGCTGGGGGTGGGGCTAGCAGGGGACCCCTTTTGTTTCCCAGGCAGCTGTAGCCTGGCCGGCCTTTCTGGTCTCCCACCTGGCGCCTGGCTGTGAGCACAGGCTACAGTGGTGGGGGGGTGTCCTCTGCTTTCCCCCTGCATGACATCTCCGGGGTCAGAGCTGGGTGACCGACCGCGTGCCCCCTCGTGCCCCTCACCGATCTCTGTGGCACAGTTCACCAGCCCACACACCATCTCTCTCTAGCGCCAGGTCATGGCGTTCAGGGTCATCCGCATGACCTTCAGGGCAAGAGGGCACAAGCCAGGATTTCCTGGTGTGAGGTGGAGGGAAAAGCTGCCTCCTCCTGCTGTTCTAGGATTGGGCGCTTTGGTGCAGTCCTAATGTCTCAGCTGCTTGGGAGGCTGAGGCAGGAGGGTCACTCAGTGGCCTGGCAACTTAGTAAGACCTTGTCTCAACATCAAAAGAATTTTTTCAAATAAAGGAGCCCAAAAAGAAATAAACAAAAGGGCCGAGGTCCCAGGAAACCTACCCCCCCACCCCCAAGTCACAAAAAGGAAAGGTATTTGCACCAGGGTGTAGCTGCTCAGTAGTAGAGAGCTCGCCTAGCATACGAGAGGCCTGAGTTCCACGCCAGCCTCATAGAATAAAAATTTATTTTGGTACCAGGACTGGAACTCAGGACCTTGCACTTGCCAGTTGGGTACTTGTGCCACAGAAGTATATCCCCAGGAACTTTGCTGAGGGCCAGAGCCCCAATGCTCTGCTCCTAAGCCTGAAGCGCAGCATCCCGCCCTCTGCCCCGTCTCTCTTCAGGCCACACCCCCAAGGCAGCGCCTTACTGGCTGGCTTGGCCCCACCCTCCCCTCACTTCGTGATCAGGATGAAACCCAAGGCCACAGGCTGGCCAGGCCAGGCTTGAGCCACACCCATAGCCCAGTAGAGGGCCTACAGCTTGGGTCCTCCTGCCTAAGCCTCCAGAATGTGTGGAATTACAGGGCACTACCTGGCTTCCTCCGGTTTTTGTTTTTTGTGTGCTAGGGATTTAACTCAGGACCTTGAGGTTGCTAGGTGAACTTGAACCTTTACTCACTGAGCCTGTGCCATTCAGACCCCGCCCCGAGGCGGAGCTCCCATAAGGCCCCACCCAAAAGGCGGTGCTCCCACAAGGCCCCGCCCCAAGGGCGGGCTCGCGCGAGGCGCCGCCCTGGCCTCGCATCTGCAGGCCCGGCTCCAGCGCTATGCCCAGCAGCGTGACGTCCGGAGGCGACCTGGCCGGGGTGGCTGTCTTGCTGACGTTTTTCGCCAGCCTGAAGAGCAGAGCTGGGGAGTGGATGTTCTGCTGGATGGAAGCCAGGACAGCGTGCAGCCACTTGGGGTCCCTGTGGAGGAGGGCACGGTTGGGTCTCTGGGCAGCAGGGAGAGGGGCAGGGAGCATAGCGGAAGGCAGGGAAGAGAGGGGACGGGGAGGTGCTTTCCTCACCCTTGGCGGCCGTCAGCAGCGTGGACACCAGTTCGCCCTATCGCATCTCCAGGTAGCTCGGGATGAAGCAGTGGGATGAGCGGTGGCTGGTGACAGAGTCCAGAGTGCTGGGGCGAGAATCTCCAGCTGGAAATTCGGTCTCTAGGACGGGCAGCCTGGGGAGGGCAGAAGTCACCTAGAAGGACAGCGGCCCCCCTTCCCTCGTGCTGCGCTTGGGTGGCCTTCCCCGCGCGGTTTCCTGCTGAGAACCAGCGAGGTTAGCGCCATGACCATCATGGCCAGCCTGTGGCAGGAGGCTGTCATCCCTGCTACTCGAGAGGCTGACGCAGGAGGAGCGCCAGTTCGAGGCCACTCGATAGTGCTGCATGACCCTGTCTCTATGAACACAAATTCAGAAGCACTGAGGGTGCGGCTCCGAGGTAGGGCTCACCTAACCGGTGTGAGGCTCTGGGTTCGAGTTCCAGTGTGTCTTAAACAAAAAGAGAATGAGAATGTTGGAGAGAATGTGGAGAAAAGGAGACCCTTACTCGATGTCCCTGTGAAGTCAAATTAGCACAGCCACTGTGGAACACAGTGTGGAAAATAAACCAGAACTAGTTGGGTATGGTGGTGCATCCTGTAATCCTAGCACTCTGTGAGAGCCCGCAGGGTCACAAGCCCAGTCCATCCTGGGCCGTGTATCAAGATCCTGTCTCGGGGCTGGGGATTTAGCTCAGCGGCATAAGAGCCTGCCTTGCAAGCAGGCAGTTGTGAGTTTGATCTCTGGTACAGATAAAAAGGAAAAAGACCAAAAAAAAAAAATCCTGTCTCAAAGTAACAATGACAAAGGCCTGGAGATGCAGCACACAAGGCTGCAAGCACAAAGGCTCTGGGCTCAATCCCCAGCACACAAGAAAAAAACAGACCCTAAAAATAGAGCTGCCACAGGCTCTGGCAATCTCACTGCTGGACAAATGCATAAAGGAAAGGAAATCAGCACAGCAAAAAGCACCCATACTCCAGGGTTTGTAACAGACCCATTCATGACAGCTAAGATACCGAACCTACTGGGGGGTGAGTACTACTCAGCCATGAAAAGGCAACCTTGCTATTTGAAGCTATGTGAAGGGACTGGGAAGATACCATGTTAAGCAAAATAAGCCAGACACAAAGCACAGATACTGCATGTTCTCCTTCATGTAGAAGTTAAAAAATTGGATTTCAGCTGGGTGTAAGGCGTGTAACCCCAGTGCTGGGGGAGGCTAAGGCAGGGGGACTACAAATTCAAACCCAGGTCGGGCACTCAGTGAGATCCCATCTCACAAAGAAAAAAGTGGATCTTGCAAAAGAGGGAATGGTGGTCAGTAGAGGCTGGGCAGGGCAGAGGGACAGGGGACAAAGGGCCTTGGTGGTAGCTGGTGAAGGGGATGGTTTACTTCTTCACTTATGCACTGCTTGGTGCCTCCTAGAATGCAGCTCCACTGGGGCATTTATGGCAGCCAGAATGAAGCCTGGTGCACAAATGTTTGTAGAATGACTCAACAACCCCTGTACACTATTATAACCAGTTCACTGTGTAGTTGCTGCTTAGCATCTGTAGGGGACTGGCTCCAGACCTCCCCAGATTCCAAGATCTGTCAGTGCTTAAGTATCTTATATAAAATGGCATGGTACCAGGTGCACATCTGTCATTCTAGCATTCAAGAGGCTGAGGCAGGAAGGTTGCCACAAGTTCAAGGCCAGCCTGGCCTACATAGTTCAAGAACAGCCCAAACTACACAGCAAGACCCTGTCTCAAGAAATCAAACTAATAAAACCTCTAAACAGTGTAGTATTTGCATAAAATCTTCAATTCGTACACAACTGTCTTTTTGTCTGGAATTAGGGATGGAAGGCAGGGCCTTGCTACCACTAAGCTGCACCTTCTGAATTTGGAGCCTTCTGAATTTGGAAACAGGGTCCTGCTAAGTTGCTGTGCTGCCCAGGCTGGGTTGAAACCTGCAATCCTCCCGTTTCAGCCTCCCCAGTAAGTGGGATCACAGGTGTGAGGCCCCATGCTGGGCCTTTGAGTATTTTTAATCATAATTTGACTGACTCTGGATGCTGGCAGCAGTTTTGTGTCCAGAAAGTTATGTGATGTCCCTAGGTGGAACTAACAGCACAGAACAGGGGTGAACACTGCCCCATTCCTTGCTGCCTGGCCTTAGAAGGCACCCCAAGCCTGTTATGTGTAAACGAGAGGCGGGGGAGGTAAATCAACAGATTCAGCTCAGCGGCCTGGTCATTTCCACAGACGCAGCACGGGTCAGATCTCTTTTCTGCAGATGGCAGGACGGCCACAGCCACCTGTCCGGCCCCCAGCTGTTCGGTCTCTGTCCCAGGGACCCAATTCCGTGTTATACAAAAGCGGCCACAGCCAAACCCCTGAGAGTGTGCGAGCCTCAGGGCCATAAAATTTCATCTCTGGGCACTGAAACTCGAATTTCATGTTTTTCACGAGTCCAAAGCAGTCTTTGGATTCTTTCAATCATTTAAAAGTGGTAAAAACTGGCAGAATGACTGGGTCCATAAAAACGTAAAAATCATGGCTTTGGGGTTTTTAAAAAAATGTTGGGGCTGGAGTCCAGGTCCTCCAGCCCGCTAGGCTGCACCCCGGCCCTGGAGGAAGAGGACACCTCATGGCCCGTAGAGCCAGGCGGTAGGCCAGGTCGGGTTCGTGGAGCAGCAGCGCGCTGAACAGGTACTGTGCATGGGCACGCCCTCCCGGGACAGCGCCTCCCCGAAGCCGCTGAAGGGCATCCCTTCCGGCTCAGCACCTGAGCTCGGGCCGCCTCTCCCATCAAGTGTGCTTAGACCTCGGGTTCCAGAGAGAGCCTGCACCGAACGGGACAGATGCAAAGGCCAGGGAGACCAGGGCTGGGTCTGACACAGCGACTAGGGTCCCCGGCACTCCTAGTGCCCAAGACCGGCGAGGTCCCACCGGGAAGCCTTGAGGGGCAGTGCCAAATAACTCCCGCATCAATAGGGGCGGAAACTCACAGCAATCAAGCCCATAGGCTCAGACTACGGGCGGGGCCAGAGGCACAGGGGCGGTGCCTATGTTGCCGTCCCCGCCCAGAAGCGACTATCTCATTGACTATAAACTGCTCAAAGGGTGGGCCCTCACCATGTAGAGCAGTTATTGGCTGGCAGCAAGTCGAGGCGGCACTAAAAACTTTTAGAATGGAGAGTAAGGCCCTGGAGGCGGAGCTAAGGGGGAGCAGGTATTGGCTGCCAGCACACGCTAGGGGGCGGGAGTAAGAGGATGGCGTCCGCTCAGGGCGCACCGTAAACTGCAGGGGCGGTGCCTCACCGTCCAGCAGCAGCCGCGCCTGCTTGCGCAGCACCTGTGCTAGCCAGTCATCCAGGTCCACTTCCTCCAGCAGGGTCAACAGCTGCTCATTGCGCACCACCTTGTCCTGGGCATAGAGTCCCTCAGACAGGGCCCGCTACTGCCCCAGGCCCAGCAGTGTGAGCTCTACTGCCAGCGCCAGGTAGGACTCCTCGGGGTTCCTGGGCATCTGCACGTGCCGGTAGACCGACTTCCTGAGTCTGGGGCGACAGGACGACGGCTACTGAAGGCTGCCAACCCTTCCCTAGGGCCCTGTAGCTCTTGGCCCTAAGCATGGCGACAGGGACAGCGTGGTGGGTGGGAACACCCCAAGTCTTGGAGTGTGGAGCTCCTCCTAGCGCAGCTGGGCCTAGGGGAGCCAAATTTCCAGGAGAGGCTTGGTCTGTTAGCTCCCTCCAAGTGGCGTGGCCACGGGCATGACATCACCTAGGCATTCTGGCCCAGGGTGTGACATCAGCTTCATGGAGCACAGGGCCAGGGCGGTACCAACACAGTGGGAACCCAATCCTCCTTCTGCAGGTCTCCCAAGATGGGTCCTATACCTGGGACCCTAAACCGAGAGAGGCTCCTCCTCCAGGCAACATGCCTCTAGGAGCGCCCTGCAGAGGCAGCCTATGGGGTTCAGGGGTGGCCCACTCAGCCTTCCCTGTTGCCTTTCTGTAGCAGCTCTGGGGGGTGGAGCTTAGGTTCTGCCTGCGTGCACAAAGGGGCGCATCCTTCCGTCCTGACCCTGCGTGTCATCAGCAGTCCCCTCGGAGGCCGTGCTGCTTGACCCAGGCCTCTGCAGTGGCACTGCTGGACCAGGCCGGGCAGGACACCATAGGGAAGGGCTTTGCCCAACACACAGCCTCAGTGTCCCCTGCTCCTCTGACCTCAGGGTTGCCCACCTGGCTGAAATGCAGCGCAGACCCCTTCCAGGGTCTCCAAAGACATCCTGGGGAATCTTAGCAGGGTAGTCACCTGCTATCTGGAACCCACTGTCAGCCTCCTGCTCCACACCAAGCACCCTTCCTCCCAGGTTTCTGTCACCTGTGCTGTCCTCTGTCTCTACCTGACCCTGGGTCAGTGTGGGAGGACACCCATCCTCCTCCTACCCCTTCTCCTGGGGCACTCAGGGTGCCTGGTTAACTACCAGTTACTAAATTCCTCATCGGTGGGTTTCTGATTGCTCTCAAACAAAAAAATCTGCAAAGCTGGTTATTGCCCTGGTCCACACTGTGGAGGGGCGGTGGCCGGTGCTACCTCTCTGCAGGGGCTGGAAGCTCAGGAGGAGGCAGGACGAAGACTCTGGGTTTGGTCAGCAAAGTCTGGAGTCCTGATGGTGGCTAGAAACCCTTTGGGGACCGCAGCTGTTAGCTGTGTGCTAGGATCCCTGTCTTCCACAGTGGTTTTTGTTTGTTTTGCAGAGCTGAGGTCAGACCCCACAGCATGCCAGCTAAGGGTTCTAACACTAATTTACAACCACATAGGTAACTTTTTTACTACTAGGCTTGAACTCAGCCATGGCACTGAGCTACATGCTCAAACATCCCCAGAACTTTCTTTTAAGATTTTGAGGGGCTGGGGATTTAGCTCAGCGGCATAAGCACCTGCCTTGCAAGCAGGCAGTCGAGAGTTCCACCCCCGGTACCGATAAAAAGGAAAAAGACAAAAAAAAAAAAAAAGATTTTGAGACAGGGTCTCACTTCACTGAGATGTGCAGGCTGGACCTGAACTTGTGATCCTCCTGCCTCAGCCTCCCTAAGTGCTAGGAGGACAGGTGTGCACTGCCACACCCGGAAGCTCCTTTTGAAAGACAGGGTCTCATGGTGTCGCCCAGGCTGGACTTGTTCTTGGCCTCAAATCCCCAGTGTCTGTCACAGCAACCAGCTCAGTCCCTTGGTGCTTGGTTGGACCTGAGGTCTCAGCCCGGGATGGGCCCAGGAATGCTCGATCCCTGTATTAAATTCCTCCCTGCTTGAGGCACCTGGGTGGCTGCTTTCCTGGTGGGAGCCTCCATTCGGCCAAGGACATGCAGAGAGGACTAGTGTCCACCTTTCTTCTGTGCACCCGTTGGACTCACGCAGGCACAGCATCTGCCATGCCTGCACCGGACAGGGGGAGCGGGTGTGAGAGGGACCGCCCCTATCCATCTGTCCATGCCCCGCCACGCACCCATACCCCGGTCTACCCACCCACCGCTCCTCTCACCAACCCACGCCCGCATTCACCTCCACACCGACCCCCCACCCACCCAGCCTACCACTGATACAACCACCGTGCCCCCAGTGCCCCACAGAGCGGCCCCTATGGAAGTGCTACACATCCTAGGCCTCAGCCACCCGCGTGCCGCCCCTCCACCGTCCATTCCCCTGCCCGTCTCAGCTAGAACCACCACAACACTGCGGGCCTCCACCCATGTCAGCCAGAATGCACCCCAACACTGCGGGCCTCTGTCCACGTCGTTACTCCATCAGCTCACATAGCCTCTGAGCCCTAGACACACCCGCCAACCCAGGAGTCCATGCAAACACCCTAGTGCCACATGCTGGGCTGTCCACCTTCAGCCCGCCCACTCCTGAGCCTGAGGCACCTGTCACTCATCCCCATTCTGCGTGCCCATTGGCTTATCCGTCCTTCCTCAGCCCTCCAGCCCCGCCCCACCCGTCAGGGCCTGTCAAATCCCCGCCCATGTCACCCCATCCCCACTTCCAGTCACCAGCAGCTCTGGTTCACTTGCGGTCTGCTTTACTCACATGACCACTCACTCCACTTGCTTTTCCACTCTTGCCAGTCGCCCCTTGCCCAACCATGGTCCGTACCCACCCTGCCCCGCACCATGGGGCTGCTGTGGTCCTCACTCAGGTCCTCCACCTGCGGCCTGCAGTCCACTTCCTCCGCCCCTGCCCAGCACTGCGGATCGAGTCCAGGGCTGCGCCACTCAACTCCCTCCCCAGCCCTTTTTACTTTTTACTATCTTTTAAAATTCTGACAAACCTGGGCTGAGGATTTAGCTCAGCGGCATAAGCACCTGCCTTGCAAGCGCGTAGTTGTGAGTTCGATCCCTGGTACTGATAGTATGCACCTCGGTGCCTGACCTGGTTCCCTGACTGCCACCCCCCCCCCAGGGCCAGAGTACATCCAGGGTGCCCACCGCCCACGTGGCCAACGCGGCTGGGGCACTGGGGTACTAGGTAGAGTGGCTGGGTGCCCTCACCGTGCCGCTGGCTGGTCTGCGAGTCCAGCAGCACCTCCTCAGCCAGGCACTGATGAGGTCCTGCCCCAGCTTCTGCAGCTGGTCTCGGTCCATCTGGTCAGTGTCTTGGAGATGGGCAGCTGCGGCTCCACCTGGCAGGCTCGGCAGAGGTGGTACAGGTCAGGGCCACTGAGTGTGGGCAGTAGAGGAGGTTCCAGCGGGGGCAGCTGCAGCTCACAGTCCTGATCTTGCAGTGGTCAAAGCTGACTGCCACGTGGTAGACATGTTCCAGAAATCACAAAATCAGGAAACACCCAGCACTGTGGGAAGTTGAGGCAGGAGGGTCAGGAGGGTCCTAAGTGAGAGCAACTTAGCAAGATCTTGATTCTAAACAAAAGTTAAGAGCTGATGATGGGCTAAGTGGGAGGATGTGAGTCTGACCCCCCAATAACAGATAAAAGAATGAGCTGATGTAGGACCAAGGCGTGGGACGCTGGCTGGGCTTAGATCTCCAGCAAATCCTTCTCTGAGAATCAGTCATGGATATGGCCAGGACAGGAGCCCTACCCTTTCTGGGAAGATGAGGGGTCTGACACTGACAGGAGCCCAGAGCTCAGGGGCAGATGGCCGGCACCCGGGTTCCTCCCTGGCTCCTAGGCAGGTGGGTGACTGCCTGGCTTATCCAACTGGTCTGGCCGCTGGGCTCCAGGCCCCTGGCTTTCCTAGTTCTTTCTAAAATCTGTAACAGGTCTCTGTGACCTGCAGACCTAGCTCTCCCCACCTGTCACCCTCCAACCCTGACCTCGGCCTCTCCACCCCACTCCCCGCCTCCCCAATTTCTCCCTTGCTCCCAGGCCCAGGCCTGGGCCCCTTAGCACTGTGACTCCAGCTGCATCCCTTACAGCCCTAGGGGACTCTGCCTCTTCCGCCTGACCCATGCCCCAGACCTCCTGCCTCGGCGCAGGGGTTTCCCTTCTGGTTCCCCTCCTTCCCACCATATCCCCATCTACCCTGGTGCCTGAGGTCAGGGGTGAGCCTGGACTCTGGTACAGCAAGATCCAGGGGCCAGGTGTGGCAACACTTTGTACACCTGCCATCCCAGATGGGAGGCTGAGGCAGGAGGATCCCCTTAGGCTCAAGTTCTAGGCCAGCCTAAAATTCATAGTGAGCCTCTAACTTAGAACAAAACAAGAAAGTTAGACACCGCCCACCCCAGGACTTCCTGAGGCACCGTCTCAACATTAAAAATACCAAAAAGGCCGGGGATGTGCTCAGGGCTGGACCCTGGGTTCCATCCCCAGCACCACAGAAACAGAAACGGCCACGCTAGCCTATGGGACCTGCACCCCAGGCCTAAGCCCTCTGTCTGGCCACTTCTACCCAGCTTGGCTGCCTCCCCCCATGTGGGGCTCCACTCACCCACTTGGAGGACGCGGCCCATCCCCCCCATTCTGCAGCTGCTGCAGCCCGTGGGTAAAGGGCACCCTGCTCACCCTCCACGGCCCGGCATCCTAGCGACTAGTACACACACAGGTCCCTCTCGCTGCTTCTTGGCAAGGACCAGAATGTGATCCGCCTCTGCACTGGCACCTGTGGCACCAGCACCAGGAGCAGAGCTCCACCTGTGGGGGGAGGGAGCAGGGGTCACCCAGGGGTGGAGCCTGGCCTCTCTGGGATGTTAACCACCTTTTAGGGATTCTGTCTACATCCCAAGTCCAGCTACTAAGAAGGCTGAGGCGGGAGGCTTGGAAGCTCAGGTTCAGCCTGGGGCAGCTTAGTGAGCCCTGGGCTCAAGTGAGCACACAGAGCCCCCATGTGCTCAGCGGTGCCCGGCCTGTAGTTACCACCCTGAAGCTCACCACCTCGAGGGGATGGGAAAAAGTCAGACAGAAGTGACTAGGGTGAGAGGCCTTGGGTTCATTCCCCAGGACCAGAAAAAAGGAAGCAAGGAAAGAAATTGGCGCGTGCAGGAGGACTGCTGAGTTCAAAGCCAACCTGAACTATAGAAGGAGTCCCTGCCTCAAAACAACAAATCAACAAACGAACAAGGAAGAAAAAAGTGGTTTCACATAATTCTCACGCCAACTGAACCATCTGATCATCTAGGGTGACCCTGATTTACAGCTTGGCAGAGGAGGTTCAGAGCTGGGGGCTCCCACTCCAGGACAGGGTCTCTGTGCAGCGTTCCACTGAGCCCCTGCCCAGAGGAGGAGTCCTGGCCACCTCCCTGGGTTCCAGGCACTGAACCCCACCAAGCCTGCGCTCCAGTCTGGGTTGGCTGCCCAATGGCTGGTGACCTTAGGGGTTTCTCAGCCTCTCTGTGTCCTAGCTACCTCAAAGCCAGGGCAGCACTTCCAGGGGCTTACAGAAGAGCCCAGACATCTTCTGAGCTCCCAGCCCTGTGAGCTCCCAACCCGGCCAGGCCAGGCCCCTGCGGCAGGTAGCACACACAAAGAAGAAAGAAGGGTGGAGGCCTTCCTGCGCCCCCGCATGCCTGGGTTTCTGAGGGAAGCGGGGCAGCAACTGGCTGGGTTACAGCTGGCAGATGACTGAGGAGGGATTTTCCAGCCCATGAATCAGAGGCAGATCCAGCCCCCGCACTTGAACTCATGGGTCCTAACTGGTGAGCCCGCAAAGTCCCCCTGAAGTCAGGCAGCCCGTGAGCCCATGGGGGCTGCTCTGGCTTGGGGGTGCAGACTGTTCTGAGGCTGGGGCTAAGGGGGCCTGAAGGACCCCAGCCCCGGGGCCTCAGGGCAGAGACCCCGGGAGCAGCCCCACAAGCTGGTTGGGGTGCACCTGTGCGATACCCCCCTCCATGCCTAGCTCCCTCTTGGAAGGAGTCAGATGGGGGAGGGGTTGGGGGAGCGGGAAGGGGTCTCCACCGGGCAGGTGCGAGCTGGGACTGGAGGGGGGCGGCGGGGATGACCGAGCTGGGGTGTGGAGAGATGCTGAGTGCCTGGCGCCTCACACTTGAGGAGGTGGGGTGTCCCGGGCGAGGGCTGCCTGCAGGAGTTGGGGGATCGAAACGGGGAGAGTCGGTGCCCTGTGGGGTGAGGCTGGGTGGCGAGGGACATGGGGCTGGGGATGCAGGTCGAGGGGGACGGCAGCTCTGGGGCCCGGTGGGGTCCCCACCCGGCACCTGCTCGAAGGCCGAGCTCTCGGCCACCTGCTTGGCGCTGAGGTCCAGCAGCTGCTCCGGTCCCCCGGGGCAGCCCCGACTCTGCTTAGCCGCGAGGGGCTCCATGCTCGGGACAGGGCCGGGCAGGCCTGCGGGTTGGCCCGATGCCCGCCGCGCTCCTCCGGCTCCGTACTGCCGGGCTGCTGTCCTGCTCGCTCAGCCGCCGGGACCCATGCCCACCCACTGCGCGGCCGGGGAGAGGGGAGCGGCTCTTAAGTCTCCACAACAATGAAGCAGGTTCGGCCGCCGCTTTAGCCTTCGCCTCCGTTCCGCCCCCGGCGCCCGACCCGATTGGACCCCGTCTAGGCCTCCGCGATCCTCTTGTTCCCTTGGCTGCGCCTCCAGACCCAGACGCTTCGGCTCATTGGACAACTGCTATGCCAGTGTTACCGCGTTTGTCCAATCACGGAACGCAGCGGGAGGCGCTGTCAATCACACAGCTCCAGGAGCCAATCGGAGCGGAAAGGACCCCCCCCACCGCATCTTGGACCGTCTGCCAAGTTTCGGGGCGGGCCCTGGGTTCATTCACATTTCTCCCCCGCCTCCCCGGAGCTGGACTGTGGGCCAGGGGCTGCTAGGCTTTGTTTACCGAGGGTCGCTGCCGGGCGCCCGGAGGACTGTCGGCTGCGCCGCGCCTTCCACCTGCGCTTGTGCGGTCCGAGACGTGCGCCCTGCGTCTCAGGGCCCCGGCTCGGTGTGAGGTTTGGGGACCCGAGCATAGGTGCGGATTTCCGGCGGGACGTGGGAGGGCTGCAGACCTCGGCCCAGGCAAGGCTCAGCCCAGGGTACCCCCCCTCCTCGACCCCGTCCTTTCAGTGCCCTAAATAGGTTGGTTCATGATTTTGTAAAATTTTATCAGGGCCGGGACTCACTAAGTAGTTCAGGCTGGCCTGAACTCACAGAGATTCTGCTGTCTCAGCCTCCCAAGTGCTGGGGTGACAGCTGTGCGCCCCCATGCCTGGGAAAATTTCTAGTTTTCGATCATCTCGACGTAGTAAAGTGTGCAGCTTCAAATCCAACCGCCTGCGATCACTTTTGTGACCCAGCTCGTCCGGGCCACCATCTGTGCCCCGGAAGCTGGCCGTGGTCTTGGTCACTGCCTCCCCCACCCCGAGATCTCAGAGCACCCGCGTAGCGCTTCCTCGGGCTGTCTCGTTACTGCCGGCGTCTGGGCAGCACCGCCCGCGGCCGCTCGGTCTGGCACCTGTGACTTAGGCTACGACGCAAGAAAGCGATGTGCAGAGCTGGGACGGGGCCCCTCTGCCTGGGAACTTCAGGGCTTTTCTCGGGGTCTCAAGCGGCTCTTTCTGACCAGTCCCAAATGTGCGGTAGATTTCAGACACTTAAATAAATGGCCACGGGGCTGAGGATTTAGCTCAGCGGCATAAGCGCCTGCCTTGCAAGCAGGCAGTCGTGAGTTCGATCCCCTGTACCGATGAAAACGAAAAAGACCAAAAAAAAAAAAAAAAAAAAAAAAGGGCACAAAATATCTCATTGAGAATTTTCAGTGGGATGCGGTGGCGCACATCTGTCATCCCAGCACTCAGGAAGCTGAGGCAGGGAGACTGCTGTGAATCTGAGGCCAGCCTGGGGGAAAGCAATTTCAATACCCTATCTCAAAACACCAAATTAAAGACAGTGTTAACTATTGATTACACATCAAAATGATGCGTGGTTTCAGTAAACTCTGATTGAAATTGGCTCTGCCTGCTCTGTTCTATGTAAGCCTTGTTTTGCAGCAATGTGGGGTGAAGAGTCCCGTGTGTTCCAGGCCAAGAAGCTGAGCCCTCCTGGTGGAAGCGGCTGGTGCCGGTGGACTCCTGGTGCCCAGACGCAGGCCTCCCCCTCCTGTGGGAGCAGCAAGCCCTGGCTTCCTCAGAGGAGGCCGCAGCTGAGCTCACCGTCTGGGCATGAGGCGCTGCTGAGCTGCCCGAGTGTCCTCACCTGACCTGTGGGGAAAGCAGGGCCCGGCAGGCTGGGCCGCGGGGGCGACACTGATCCCTTTGCCCGTGTGGTTCCTGCCGAGCGGCAGCTGTGCTGGCCCCGGACTCGGCCTGGTGGCCACGCTGGCCCAAGCTACCAAGCTGCTCAGGTTTCTCTTCTTCTGTTTGAAACACGAGGTCACGGCCCAGGGCCAGGCCAGGGCGCACAGGAATCGAGATTATGAGGCAGCCGATGGCTGGGCTGGGCGAGGCCAGGTCCCAGGGAGACTGGCAGTGCTGGACTGAGCTCCCGGCCCCAGCCCGGTACCTTTGTCCTTGTGGCACTGGGGGTTCCCAGCCCTTCCGCTTTGGGGCACTAAATGGGGGCATTGGAATCCCCTTTGGAGAGGCAGTCAGAGATGAAGTGACTCATACAGGGCCACGTGGGGTTCGGGGGTCCTGGCTGTAGGGTTCCTGGGGGTCTCACGGGCTGGGGAGTCACCAAGGAAGCAGAGGGGAAAACGAGAGGCTGGGGAACCCCAGGGTTGGGTGTGGTAGGTCGAAATTCCTGTCCTGGGGCCAGCTGCTGAGAGCCACTGAAGAGGCCACGTCCCAGGATGCCTGCGCTGTCCCAGGGGTTACCGGACTGCAGCAGGCTCGGGCCGGTCTCGGGCGCCTCCTGGTGGCTGAGGCTGTGCAGCTCTGCTTCTCGGATGGGGCAGGCAGATTAGAGATGCTTCAGAGAGGAGTGCCTGTAAACACTGGACATGGAAGTGTCTTAAGTCGATTTCTTAACTGACATGGGAACCAGGCGGCTGTTGGAAGGGGTTCAGAAAGTCTGGAAACCGGGAATGGAGGAGGCACATGCCTGTCACCTCAGCACTCTGCAAGGCTGAGGCAGGAGGGTGCAAGTTGGAACTCAGTCTGAGCAATTTAGGAATTTAGCAGGGAGACCATCCCTGTCTCCCAGTAAAAAACCCCAAAACGCAGAAAGGCCTGGCCGGGATGTAGGTAAGTGGTAAAATCCCTAGGTGTGATCCCAAGGTCTGAAAACCAGACACTGTTAACAGATGAAAGTGAACCTCCCAGGGCGCGCAGGCTGGCGGCTGCACCCTAAAGATCTCTGTCAGCATTGCCACCTCATCATGATAGGAAAGGCCAAAACCCAGGGCTGTCAAACACTCAAAAGAGGAGACATGGAGCCTCCAGTGGTGGCCCACTCGGGAGGCTGAGGCGGGAGGACTGTTTGAGCTCGGGAGTTTGAGGACAGTCTGAGCCACAAAGTCAGACTCGCCACCTCTCGCTCCATAAAAATCAAGGAATTCCCTGGCACTGCAATGAAACACCAGGGTCACACAGGCCCCTTTCGGGGGCAGGAGAGCTGCTCCTGGAAGATGCCATCTGGGAAGGGCAGATGCCAGGGGGCTGAGCAGTGAGGAGGTGGACTCCCTGACCAGAGGCTGGCACAGATGGCCACAGAAAGATGCTAAATGCACAAAGCCATGCACAAAGCCGCCTAAACAGGCAACAGGGCAGGTCATACCACAGCCTGAGGGATGGACAGCGAGCCGTGGTTCCTTGGGGGGTGCTCAAGGGTGTGGCCTGGTGGCCAGGAAGGCACTTCCACCTCCTACAGTAGCACCTGGAGCTCCTGCTCCAGACGCTGTGTCCTCAAGGCATGGCAGCCTGGGACTGTGCAGTCTCTCTGTAGCCCAAGGACCCACCAGCACAAGGCTATACACCCATCTGGCCCCCTCTACCAGCACCCCACTTTCTTTCCAGCTCTCAGCTGTTCTGGACGCTGCTTGGACTCATCACGTTTTCAAGGTCCGTCCATGGTGCAGCCTGCGAATGTTCACGGCTGAGTAATATCCCACCGTATGGATGGCCTACATTTTGTTCATCCTTCCACTGATGGAAATGCAGGTTACGCTCCCTTTACGGCGGGACGTAGGTATTCCCAGTTATTTGAGAGACTGAGGCAGAGGATCACATTTTGAGACATGACTGGGCAACTGAATGTGACCTTGACAAAAACTAAAGACAAAATCCAATGTGCTGAGGAAGCTGCAGCTCTGCCCCCCCCTGCCGTAGCTCCAGCTCTTCCTGATCTGAACCTGGGGCAGGGCTGCAGGGCCTCTGGGCAGTTGGGAAGAGGGAAGCTCTGCTCAGCTGGTTGCGGGGGGAGGGGAAGAATTCACAGAGCTGTCAGGAGCCTGCCAGGGCGGGCACTGCTGTAATCTTAGCATGCTGAAAGGCAGAAGGGTTGCAAATCAAGCCCAGCCTGGGGAACTTGGCGGCTTTTGAGATCCCAGGTTCATTTCCCAGTACCTTGGGAAAAAAAACGAACAGGACCAAAGGGACCTGGGGTTTGGGGACGGCAGTTGGAGGCCAAACACCCACTTCCCAAGCAGTGAGCACCCAGGGAATTCCAGCCACCAAGGTATTAACCGGTCACATCAGGGGTGCACCCAAATCTTGCAGAGAAGAGCTAGGGGAAAAAGGTCACTAGGATACAGCCCCCCAAAACAACACAGGCCCTGCCCAACCCAGCAGACCTAGCACTAACTCGGGGGCTGGTGTCCCCAACGGGGACAAAGAGCCCTGACCTGGGACACTGATGGCGGGAGGCCGGCGACAAGAGTGGGCTCCAGTCCTGGCTCTCAAATGTCAACGACAAACCCGGCCCAGGCACCTTGCCACCTGCCCGGGGTGAAGGAACCTCCACAGGGGCAGCACCAGGTCATGTTTAGGGTGATGGCCCAGAGCCTCAAGAAGCCACCTCCCCATCTGAGTACTCACCAGGTGGAGGGCAAGCTGGGCAGCCTGGGACAGGGCTCTTGCAGAGATCGGTGGGGCTCGCCTGCCCCCCAGCCTGCTCACAGAACCACAAGGTAACACAGCATGGCAACACCACCTTTACTGTAGGGGTAAAACCCACGGAGGCGGGATGGGGAGGGCGGGTATCCACACGGCCTCATCTTGCACTCTGAGCAGCGAAGTCAGCAGCATCTCTCAGGCTCTGGATATCACCTGTGCTGGTGGCCCAAGGTGCAGTCTGTGGGTTCACAGCCTCAGGAAGCAGTCTTGGGGGTAGCAGTGGCCCCCTTCTTCTTGAGCGGGGCCTTCAGCAGCGACAGTTTCTTGGGCAGGTGGGAGTTGGCTTTCATCACCACCTCATGCTCTATGTTCTTCCGGATTGCGATCTCTAGGTCCTGCGGGGGCAACCCTGGGCCTCAGACTGGGACAGAGTGTGGGTGGGCATGCCAGCTGCCCTTTGACAGCCTGGAGCTGTCCCCTGGGCCTGAGGATGGGGACCTAGGCCTTGCTCTGCACCCTGAACCCATCATGAGAGCCCTTCTCACCTCTCGTGCTCTGCCCACTGCCACATGACATGGGGAGACCGAGGCTCTCACAGTGGGGTGGCATCTGATCAGGGTCCCCAAACTACCCAAGTGGAGCTTGATGTGTTCCTGCCTCTGGGTGTCTTGTGTCATCTCTTTTCTCTAAGGAACCAGGGCTGCTGTGTGGGGTGCAGTCTGCTTCAGAAGGCTGTGGTGGGTTCTAATCATGGCGACCACAGTCGTGTGCCTGGGCACTGCAGAGAGCGAGTGGCAGAGAAAGCCCAGTCTGCTTGGAGGATGCTCAATGCCCACAGGTGAAAGGCACCCTCATGACAGACATCCAGCTGTTCCATAGACTATGTGTTGCCATGGTGAAAAGATATGGGGGGGGGGAGGAAATAAAGTGAGGGGTGGGGCTGCTACCAGGTCAGGGTGGCATAAAGAAGCTTGAGGGGACTTGGAAAGCTGGAAGGAGGGGACAGGGAACGGTGGGAGGCGGGCAGGGCAGATCACACATGCTTTCTTGGCTTTTCCCAAGTGTGGTGGGAGCCAGAAAGAGCGCTGGGCAGGTAGGCCAAGAGGTGACCACACACTTCCGGAGGACAGGCAGAATGCAAAGGAAAATGGACAGCGTGGTCCCCAACAGCGACGCCTGATGCCACCGCGCGGAGCCGCGCAAGCCCGGGATAACGGGTTCTGAGAGAAGCAGCGAGCGTGCCCTCGGGGCCCGAGTGCTCGGCTCGGGATCCCACGACACCGCTCCGGCCCCAAGTTTAAACCTCTTCGCAGCATCCTCACGGGCTCTGCCCCGCCCCGGCCCGCATCCTCACACTCCGGGGACGGGCGGCAACGCCAGAGCCCAGCCGAGGCGCGGGTTGCAGGATCCCGGTCCCTCCTAGCGCCAGGGTATTTTCAACCCCGGGGGCTGCGAACGCGCTCCCGACATGGGGCACCGGGGTCCCGCGTTCGCCGCGCCGGGGAGGACATCGAAGCCCCCGCGCTACGGCTCCGCTCACCTTCCTGATCTGCTGCTGCTGCACCACGCGTGCCTTCTTGGGGGCGATCACGCGACCTGCAAGGACGCGCTCGCATGAGGCGGAAGCGGCCCGCACCCATGACCGCCCCGCTCACTCCCCGGCCCGCCCCTCACCGCCTTTTCTGGGCCCGCGGCTTCGCTCCGAGGCCGCCGCCTTCGCCGCCGCCTTGCTCTTGGCCGGCTTCCGCGCCTGGAACTTGCGCTGACCCTGCGCCATGATGGGGCGCACGCCGGAAGGGGCGTGGCTACGCAATGCCGGAAGGCGCAGGGCACGACGGGATACAGCGGGTCGTAGAGACTCACGGGACTCAAAAGGGGCACTTAAAGGGCCAGTAGCCCACCAACGGGATAAGAAATTGCATCGCTATGGATGGTAGCACGCAAAGGACGCTTATGGCATTTATACAAAAAGCTGAGAACTCAGGACCTTGTGCTTGCCAGGCAGGCGCTTATGCCACTGAGCTAAATCCCCAGCAAAACCTTCACATTTTTAATGGATTTTTTTGGGTGGGGAGCATCTTTGATTACATGGTGGTACACTATTGACCCTGAGAGTGGAGCAAGACCTTGCCTCAAAACAAACAAATGAAACAAAAACACGACATTAAACAATAGTTTATTTTTAGTTTTGGTCTTCCGTTGAGGCAGGGTCTTGAGATGCAGTACAACCTGGTCTTGAATTCACCTGTAGCCCAGGCTGGCCTGGAACTCGCAGGGATCCTCCTGCCTCAGCCTCCCGAGTGCTGGGATTATAGGGGTGTGCCACCACACCCAGGTTTATTTTTCTTTTTGAGACAAGGTCTAACTAGGTGGACCATGCTGGCTCGAACAGTGACCCTCTTGCCTCAACTTCCTGAGTCCAGGGGTGTGCTGCCACACCTGGCTTTATCTCTGTTTTATCTGCAGGAAACTAAGGCACAAAGAGATGAAGGGACTTGCCAAGGGCACACAGGAGAAACAGAGCTGAGAGTTGAACCTGGGTAGCTCAGTCACTGGTACTGGGCTCCTTAGGGTGTGTGCTTGACACAGGGTCTTGCTATGTGGCTCAAGCTAACCCTGAACTCACAGTAATCCTCCTGCTTCAGCCTCCTGAGGTTGCAACAACAGGCACATACTGCCACACTTGGACTGCTGGCCCCTACGAGCCATGAAGGACCCTGCCTGCTCCTTCTGCTCCAGGGTGAAGCCTGGCTGCCAGAGGAAGGTCAGCTTTTGGCAACACTATTTTTTTGTCTTTTTTGAGACAGGGTCTGTATGTAGTTCAGGTTGGCCTTGAGCTCACTCTGTAGCCCCTGGTCTTGAACTCGAAATGATCCTCCTGCCTCAGCCTCCCGAGTGCTGGGATTACACTGGCTAGGCTACTTCATGGTGGAAATTGAGGGTCGGGGTGGGGGAGACTGGCTTGGTTCCTTTTGGATTCCGCCTAGGTGCCTGCCCCTAACGGGCTAGTGCTCAGGGCTGCTCGGAGTTCCTCGGGGGTGAAGACACCCAGCTCTGTGATGATGCCACCAGTGATGAGGTCGTGTGGGGTGACGTCAAAAGCGGGATTCCACACCCCAATACCTGCAGGGAAGACGTGGCATAGGCAGGGAGTCGGCTTTGTGAAGACCCTCAGCTGTCCTCATCTGTCTCCACCACAGAGGCTCTTGGGGTTCTCACTCTAATACTGCACAGAGACAGGGACACTGATCCCAGTAACAAGGTGACAAGGTCAGGTCTCCCTGCCCCTTCTGGACAGTTGCTGCCCACTTTACAGTCTTTGCCTTTTTGAGACAGGCTTTGCTATGTAGCCAGGCTGGCCTGGAACTCCTGGCGACCCTCTCGCCTCAGCCTCCTGTGTGCTGGGATGACAGGTGTGAGCCACCATACCCCACTCCCCTCCTGACGGCTCACCGGGTGCTGCAATCCTGACCCCATTCACATCGGTGAGCTCGTGGCCCGGCCGCTCCTCGATGATGATGTCCTGGCCAGTTTCCAGGCAGAGGTCACAGGAGGAACTGGGAGCAGCCACGTAGAAGGGGATGCCGTGGTGCTTAGCGGCGATAGCCAGCTGGTAGGTGCCGACTTTGTTGGCTGTGTCTCCATTGGCAACCACGCGGTCAGCTCCCACAACGACGGCTGGGAGCAAGAAACCGGATTGAGCCGTCATGCAGCCCAGTCCTGGCCTCCTAGGGCCCCCACACACCCCGCCTCGGACCTGACACACCCTGGTGGGCCATAGCAGCAGCTGCCATGCTGTCGGTGATGAGGGTGGCGGGGATGCCCTCATACACTAGCTCAAAGGCCGTCAGCCGCGCGCCCTGGTTGTAGGGCCGGGTCTCCGTGCAGAAGGCGCGCTCCAGGCGGCCCAGCTGGTGCAGGGAGCGGATAACACCTGTGGAAAGGGGTGGTGTCAGTGGGGGGGGGGGACTTTGCCCAGGCTGTTCCCTCTCTCTGCCTCCACCTCTGACTGGGTGACACCTCCACAAATCCCCCTGACCCCTCAGGGGTACACAGCAGTCCCACCCCTCTATCTGGGCCCCAGTGTTAGGCATCTTCTTTTTTATTTGAGACAGTCTCACTTGTTTATACTTGTTTATATTGTTTATATACTCCAGGCCTCGTCTCGAACTCAGGAGATCCTCCTGCCTCAGCCTCTTGAGTGCTGGGATTACAGGTATACACCACTACACCCAGCTCTAGCTTCTTTTTTTTTTTCTTTTCTTGGGGTGCAGTGCTGGGTATTAAACCAGCTTTACATGAAGCTACATCTCCAGCCCTTTATTTTCTTATATTGAAACAGTAGTTCAGGCTGGTCTTGAACTCACTATGCAGGCCAAGCTGGTTTCAAATTTGCAGTGACTCTCCTGCCTCAGCCTCCCAAGTACTGAGATTACAGTGTGCACTACCATGGGCAGCCTGAGTCGGTTCTGGCTCAAGTGCCAAGGCTGAGCTCAAAATTGTGATATTTCTGCCTCAGCCTCCAGGAGTGCTGGCATTATTGACATGCTCAACCACTCCCAGCCATTTACCAACTACCATCACCTCTCAGGTAATTTATTTTTACTTTTTGCTAATGAGTATGAAATCCAGGGCCTCATACAGAGCTGTACCCCAAGCTCTTTCTTTTTTGCTTCTTTTGAGACAGGGTCTTGCTCTGTAGTCCAAGCTGTCCTCAAACTCACAACTTCACTGCCTCAGCCACCTCCCAAATGCTAGCATTGCAGACGTGCACCCCCACATCTGCTGTCTGCGCTTATCTTGTTGCTGGATGTCTGTACCTCGTCCCTCCAAGGGGAAGGATCTGTCCCCAGCACAAGATGAGAGTGGAACCTCGAAAGGTGGGAAAATGTGCTGGCGAAACATCAGGCACCAGGAACTTCACTACCTATCTCCCTGCTGGTCACAGTTCCCAGTCTTACTTGGGGGGCTCACTCCCACCCTATCAGTCCTCTTAGGGCCCACATCTTGCTCCTCTTCTAAGCCTATGGCTCAGGTAGCTCTGGGGTGGGCAGGCAGCCCTGTCCACCTCGTGAGATATAAGAAAACCAGTCTGCTATGCTTTGAGCCCCTGGATTTAGCCGTACCTGAAGCTAGCGCCTTAACTGTATCTATATAAGAACTGATACAGTCACCTACAGTAGTTCAAGCTTAGTTCTTTTTTTCTGGTGGTAGTTTTTCCTTTTGTAACTCAAAGTGGTCCTTTCCCATCCCCCCAAGAGGCCAGGGCTCACCCAGGGCTGTGCCGTAGCCGGCGGTGGCCAGTGCGCCAGTGTTACAGTGGGTCAGCACAGTCACCTTGCCCCCCTGGGGGGCGGCCCGGTCCAGGAGGTGGTGGGCTCCCAGGTCCCCGATGCTGCGGTTGTCCCTGAGGTCCTTCTTCAGCATGTCCTCAGCGTAGCAGATCACCCTGGGGCCAAGCACAGACCTCAGGGCCTGGACCAGTCCCTCCTGTCCACCCGGTACTGCTCTGTGGGGCCTGGATGCTTCGGCCACCATCATGAAACTGTCACTGTGTGTGCACATGTGACACATTTCTCAGCGCTTCCTGTGTGCCTGGTACTAGGAGTGGACACAGCAGTAAACAAGACTTCCCACCCTGGTGGCCAGGCAGCATGGGACACCTGTAACCCAAAGTGCTCAGGAGGCTGAGGCAGGACACTGGGGGGTGGAAAGCGGGGCATGGGCAGGACACTGGGCAGGGAGGGGGGTGGAAGGCGGGGCATGGGCTGATAATAAGGGGAAGGAAAAAAGCAGGATCAGAATACAGCGAAGGGAAGGTGACAAACGGATGTGCAGTATGACAGCCTTGGGGAAGACGACGAGTGCAGGCTCTTGCAAAGGCCCTGGTGCCACAGCGAGCCCGCAACCGGAGAATGGGGTGACTGGGGCGGAGGTGATGAGCAGAGACAAAGCGGAATTCCTGCAAAGCACAAACCAAATCGAGGGGCACACGAGGGCCAGGCAGACTTAAGAGGGCGGACTTGCTCCGCGCAGCCTTCCAGCCCTCAAGCCTGGGCTCGGGACTGCAGCGCGCCGTGCCTCGGTTTCCCCTACCTCTCCCGCACAGCCTCCTCCGTGGCGCCGTCGCGCGCCGCCTCCCGGGTCGCGGCGTCCCCCAGGTCGCGCGCGGCACGGGCCATGTTGACGGCGGTGGGCCGTGCGGTCACCAGGTGGCCCAGTCGCTCGCGCACGAAGGCGGCGAGCTCGGCGGGGCCCGGGCCCCCTGCGCCGGCTCGCAGCTCCACCGCGAGGCTGAGGCAGCCGACAAGCGCGATGGCGGGGGCGCCTCGCACCTTCATGGCGCGGATGACCTCCCAGGCCTGCTGCACCGAGCCCACCACCTCGTAGCGGCTCTGCTGGGGCAGCAGCAGCTGGTCGAGCACCTGCAGGGAGCCAGGCTCATAACGGATAGACTCCAACGCCATGCTGCCGCCATGCCAATGGACGCCAGTGCGCAGGCGCGAGGGGCGGGGCCAGAGCGCGGGGCGGGGCCAGAGCGCGGGGCGGGGCGCGGCCCTACAGAGAGCTCCTTGTACGCGAATCAGTGCGTCTAGTCTTGAAGTTCCCAGAGCGCTCCACGCGGCTGACCTACGCCAAGCCTAGCCCTACCGTGGCTTCCTCTGGCCCTCAGAACTGCAGTGGTAGCCTCCGTGGGGCCCCTCCCGGGTGCCAGTCCCTGTATTTAATCTGTGTGTGTGGGGCCACACCTTGACCCCCAACCTCAGGGCAGCGAGGAAGGCATCCGAGGTCTCCAGCTAGAGCAGTGACCCGGGTGGGCTTTGGTTGACGGCGGAAACGGGGACATCCAGCCCTGCCAAGGAGGTCGGAAGTCCTGTCAAAGCATCTTTATTGCAGCTGCCTCCAAGCCCAATAAAATGACTTGCACCCCCCAATAATCCTGGTGATCTCACTACAGCCAAGACACTGGTTGGGGAGCTCCGACCCTGGTCCTGTGGATGGACTCCGAGCCTTTGCACCGAGCTGTAGCCCTAGCTGTTTTGAGAGTCTCTAGGTTGGGCTTCACCTTGCATCCTCCTGTCTCAGCCTCCCAGCATACTTAAGTACTGGCCCATGCCACCACACTAATTGGACGAATCAGGTCCAATGCTTCCTCAAAGTCCGTCTCTCCCCAAAGTGAGAGCCGGCAGGGCAGGCTACTGCTTTCAGGAAGGCAGCTGCAGGCAGATTCTTTGACCCCTAAAAAGCGCAATGTCTTTCCTGCAGCACCCCCAGGGCTGGAGCCGGCAGGGACCCAGTGCTGTTTGTGACACCCTGTCCAATGCTGAGCTGAGCTGGGCTCCCGGAGCTTGGACTCTGCGTCCTGCTCTGGCCCCTCCCAGCAGTCAACTCCGGACCTCCCCCTTCCCAGTCCCCTGCATCCCAGCTGCAGTCCAGGGGCCCCGACTGTGATCCAAGGCAGGGCAAAGAACAGAGCTTTATTGTTGGGGTATTGGGGTCCTACAAGGCACAGGCGCCCGGCCGGACCGAATAAATAACTGCGAGGCTTGGAAAGTGAGGTGCAGGGAGGGTCGAGGGGGGGCCTGTGGCCCAGAGGCCCCTCACTCGCTGCTCTCTGAGTCCGAGTAGTCCGCCACCAGCGAGGAGGAGCAGCCGGGGTGCAAGGCATCTGCATTCTGGGAGGAGCCTGCCGGGGGCCCGGGCCGGTCCCCGCTGCCACCCTCCTGTTCACAAGGCATGCTGGTCTTGGGGCTCCCAGCTGCGCCCCTGGGGCAGTCCTTGGGGGATGCAGGTCCCTTCTGGGGGTTCTCCTGCGGTGGGTCTTGGGGTGTGGGGGCATCAGCGGTACGTGGGGGGCTCCCTGGAGCATCCTGAGACCGCCGCCGCCGTACGATGCCCAGGTTGCCCACGGTGATGGGAGTGCAGGCAGGGGCCCCGGCCCTGCGGCCCTGTGCCAGCCTCCTTAGCACGCTGCTGGTCTTGCTGCTGCTGTTGCTGGCGCTGGAGCCTGGGGTGGCGGGGAACCAGGAGCGGCTGCTGATCTCGGAGCGCTTGAGCCTCTGCTTGTCCTCGTAGGCTGGGGAAGAGAGCAGGTCAGGAAGACCGGAGGGGCAGGGTCCGGCACACGTGGGGCTGAGGTGCACCCCCGGGAACCCCGACCACTTACAGTCAAGCGTGTGGAACTTGAGCAGCGCGGCCAGCCTGCGGTCCTCCTCCGTCTCAGGCACCAGTGGGATGGCTAGGCTGGCCTTGGCCTGCAGTGCCTGGTCCCTCTCCTCCTTCTCCTGCACCGCCTTCTTCTTCTCCTGTGCCGGGCGAGCCTGTGAGACCCCCGACAGTCGGGGACGCTCACCACCCCACCGCCCCCCCAGCCACTCTGACAAGTCACGGAGGTTGCTGGCCATCTCCCCATTGCCGAGACTGGCCGGCCCAACTGCGAAAGGCGCCTTGTCCTGGCAGGGACGCCACGGGAAGGGCGTCCTGACTCAGCGGCCCATGCTTCCTGCTTCTGCTTCTTTAGTGCACTGTACATTCAAGGCCGAGTCACTTCTTCCCCTGAGACCACTCTCGCTAGGTCCCTGGCCTCACCTTGAACTCTCAGAATCAAGAGATCCTCCTGCCTCTGCAGCCTGGAAGCTGGAGCACTATGGTATTTTTGTGACTACAGTGCAATGGACTGAAGGTACGATCCCCACATGGCGGAGGGGGAAACCAAGGCACAGAAGGTGAAGGGTGTTTGCTCACAGTGGGAGGTAGTGGGCGCCGGCAGGTTTCAAGTATTTTTTTTTTTTTTTTTTTCTGCCACAGGGAATGCCTGGGGCCCCGGCCGCCCCGCCCCCTCACCCGGAAGCGCCTGCGCAGCAGGCTGTTGAGCGCGAAGTCATCCTTCCAGACGTTCTGCGCCTCCTGCAGGTGGCTGAGCGTGGGCAGCGCCCGCTGCAGCGTCCCGCGGTCGGCCTCACCGTGCTCCAGGCGGAACATGGCGTCGGTCTCCAGTTTCTGCTTCGTCTCATGTTCTGCAACAGACACAAGCGCCAGGGTGGCTGCGGGGTCCCGGGCACCTGAAGATGCGCGGGGCAGGGCAGGGCAGGGCAGGGCAGGGCCGGGCCTCACCTGTGGGCAGCACCTGCTCGTTGCTCTCCATGTCCCAGCGCTCCTCCTTGCGTTGAGCCCCGCTCACAATCACGTAGTCGCAGTTGGCGGGGTCCGTCTGCATCTCGATGTAGTTGACGCACAGGTGGCATTTCATCCGGAACCTGCGGGGCCAAGCGCGGTGGCCGCAGGTGTGGGCACTCTGCCCTGGGCCTGCCCCGCACCTGGGGCACACGGGCCCGCGAAACACGAAGCCACTCATGCGTGGCGTGGACCGGGTCAGTCCCAGCCAGGCTGCTTGGTGCCAGCTGCCCTCGGCGGGGCTGGCGGTTCAGGGCACAGGGGTGACACAGCCGGGGATGAGGACAGTGGAGGGAGAGGCGCGTGGGAGCCATGGAAGGTTCTGGGGGAGGGACGTCGCCTGACCGACAGCAGAATGACCTGAGGAGCGGGCAGCAGTCCCCCCTCCCCCCAGTTCCCTCTGCACTGGTCCTGCGCCCCTTACCTGTAGATGGGGGTGGTGTAATAGTTACCCACTTTCTTCTTTTCTGCGTTGTAACGAACGCCTGCGGGGTAGGAAAGGAGGCGGCTCAGACCTAGCTGGGCCAGCATCTTCCCTCTGGGTCAGGTCACACAGCTCTGCCCATGGGCCTGCATCTCCCGCAGGTACCGGGTTCTCGAGTGGCAGGACATAGCGGTGGCTTATGCCAGAGGTCTGGACTTGAATCCTGGCTCTACTGCCTACAGCCATGCAGCCTTGACCCTCTGGGCCTCAGTTTCTGTTTAGTGGAGGAGAGTGACTGGGATGCCTGTGGCTCATGCTCCTGGAAACACTGCAGCTGAGATGGACACCTGGCAGCGTGTTAGCAAGGCCTGGCTTTGAGCTGGCATGGTGGACTTGGGAGGCTGAGGCAGGAGGATCTCTGTGAGTTCGAGGCCAGCCTGAACTGAACAGTGAGAGTCTTGGGGTGACTGGTGGGGAGCTGTGACCTTTGCTGCTTCTTTAGAGATGTTAGTTTTCTTTGTTTACTTTTGGTGCAGGGGGGCCTCCAAGCCCATCCTGCGCCTCCTGCCCCCCATGCTGGGCCCACTGAGTGTACACAGTCTTGGCCCTGGTGGAGTCATCCTGACTCCTGACCTGCAGTGATAACAACTTCCACTAGAAAAATGGCATGGCTGCTTGATGGATGTCATGACCTGCCTCAGTTTTCCTTTTCTGGGAGGTGGCCTGAACTTTCGGAGCTGAAGTCTGGGCTCATGTCTTGGTTCCGGGCTCGGGCGCTGTGGCCCATCTCCTCTGCCTCCTCTGCCCTGCAGCTGGGCCTGGAGACCCTGTGACCTCCTCAGCCCCAAGGCCCGGCCTGGAGGACACTGCTCGCAGAGGGAGCTGAGCCCTGGCCCTGCTGCCCTGCGTCCCCTCCTCTGCAGTGCTATCCCCAGAGGCCGAAGGACGGTGCAGGGACTTCTGGAGGCTGCACATGGAGGCTCTGGGGGCAGCACCTGGGGCGGGCGTGGGTGTGAGGTCTGTTCACTGTGCCCTCTGCCAGGTGTTTTTTGTAGCGCTGAGACCCAGGAGCTGCACCCCCTGTACCCCCAGAATGTACCTTACCATAAACCCGGTTCCCTGGGCCCTGTGAGTCAGGTGAGCAAATTGCGCCTCACACACCACACAGCCGGGCCCCTGCATCACCTCAATTTCATGGCGAGGTAAACTGAGGCACAGACAGGCTCCGTGGCATGCTGAGGCTCCCCCAGCTAGGGTGGCTTCCTGATCGCTCTGCATCGTGGGTGCCTGCCCCTCATCAGGAGCCTGGGGAAGGGGACTGACTCCCCTGCGCCCAGCACCTCAGGCCCTGCAGGGTGTGGGGGCGCTCACCCATGCCAATGTGGTTCTTGCAGCCATCGCACCAGATGTTATACGGCATCTCGAACCTGCGGGACGACAGGGCCTGTGGTTCGCTCCTTTTCCAGATGGAGTCTTGTGATGTTGCTCGGCCCTCAGCTCCTGGGCCCAAGGGACCCTCCTGCCTCAGCCTCTCAGCGAGCCAGGACTGTGCCCAGAGGTGGCCACTGTGCCCAGACAGACAGTACCCTACTGGCACCGAGCCCCGGGCCATTTCTGGCTGTGACTGATCTCCGCCGGGCGTGGAGCGGGTAAGGAGTGGATGCCATGCCTGTCACATGCCGGGCCGGGCCTGACCAGGGCCCAGGTGCTTTGAGGGGCTCCTCCCGGTCAGGGAGACGTGCTGATCCACAGTTTGCAGTGCTGGGGATGGAACCTAGATCTTCACAAGTGGCTGCTGGGCCAGCGCTCGCCCCGAACTACACCACGGCCCCCCAAGACTCTGAGACTGGGTCTTGCTAAGTTGCTCAGACTGGCCTAGAACTTGTGATCCCCTCCCTCAGCCTCCCCAGCGGGGACAGACAACACCACACCCGGCTCCTGGACACTTGGGAGGCTGCTGCCAAGCACAGTGTTACTGAGCCTTTGGCAAAGCTGCTGCCCTGTCCTGGAGTGGCCACATAGTGACCCGATGATCCGCTCCGTCCTGAGAAGTAGACTTGGTCACGTGACCAAGAGGACAGGGTGGGCTGGGCATGGTGTCTCGGCCAGTCATCCCCACACGCTGGAGGCTGAGGCAGGAGCGTTGCAAGGCCAAGTGTGGTGTGGGCAACTTAGCGAGACCCTGACTCAAAAATGAAAACAGAAAGAGGACTGGACTGGGGATCAGGGTGAAGATGACAGGTGCGACCCCAAGGAGGCCAAAAAAACTCACTTAAAAAACGACCGAGGGTAAGAGGGCTGTGACACCAGCAGTGGTTCCCAAGGTCACTCTTGGGTGCAGCCATCCTTTTGACTGCTGTTTTGAGGCAGGGTCTCCATGAGCATCGATCCTCCTGCCTCAGCCTCCCAGGTGCTGGGATCACAGATGGATACCACCACACCCAGCTGGGACCCCAGACCTTGCTTCCTCCTCAGGGGATGTCTCTCAGTGACTCTGGGACTATGTCCTCTGCTCGGCTCAGCACTGACCAGGGGCCTGGGCCTGGGGTCCCCAGGGGAAGCAAGACACGGGGAGGAAGGAGGAACAAGGGCTGGCTCGGGGAGATGCAGTGGCGTTTACTTCCTGCAGCCAGTCACCTGCCGCAGTGCTGGCCGCAAAGATAAGGTGAGGACAGCCAAAGGGCCACTGGCCACCCCGGCCTGGGGTTTGTTTTGGGAAAGGGCTGCTGTGCTGCCCACACTGCCTGGAATACCTGGGCTTGAGGGACCCTCCTGCCTCGGCCTCCAAGGAGCATGGACTACATGTGTCACTGTGCTCGCCTGTCTGTCTGTCCCTGTCTGTTCCCACCTCATGTCTGTGACCTCTGTGCTGCACTGCTGTGATTCACCTACAGAGAGGCAGCATCAGGTCCCACTCTGAACTGTGATCTGCTTTGCCCACTGATGAGCCAGGAGGAAGGCATAGTGACCAGCTCTGGGTCTCGGCCTGCAGTTGCGAGCTCAGGACAGCCAGAGGCTGAGACACAGCATCTCTGCCTCAATGCCCTGCTGGACCATATGGTCTTTGGCCAGTTACTCCCAAAGATGGGGCCTGGCCCTCCAAGCTCGGCAGTAGCCTCCAGTCCTGTCAGTGGTGACAAATGACTTTTTTTTGATTTGTTTCGTTACACAGCAGTAGCTGACTGATACAATGACTGTTAGCTCTGTGGAATCCAGACCTCACAGCACAGGGCCAGTGGGGGGTGCCAGGGCCTTACCGGATGATGAGGATGCCTTGCGACAGCTTCCGGGCCCGCTCCCGGAGTGGGTGGCTATTGTGGTAGCGGTTGAGAGAGCCATGCTGTGGGCGAGGGGGAGGCAATCAGTACCACCTGGGGCCGCAGGCTTTCTGCCCACCCCGGACTTTGGACCAGAGCCTCTGGGGGTGAGGGGCCTCCCAGTTAGGTCTGGCAATGCCAAGGTCAGGGAAGGCTTGAGGAAGCATGTGGCCTCCTTTGGAATCTGGGGATGGGGGCGGGGCTGGCGCCTCAAACCCAGGGCAACTGGAATCTGAGTTGGTTCCCAGTCCCTCCGGTGACACCGTGCCGTGAAACCTACCTTTGCGGGGTTGAAGTCTGGAGGGTAGTACTTGTTGACTCCTTTTCTTTCACCCTGGGAAGAGGAGACGTGATGAGGAGGGCGCCTGCCAGCAGCCCCACTGGACAGAAGCGGGGGCTGGGGTGAGGGCGTGGTTGCCTGCACAAACCACCATCCTCCCACCTCAGCCTCCGTGTGCTGGGATTATAGGCATGAGCCACCACGCCCGGCTCTGGGGTCAGATTCTTTTTTTTTTTTTTTTTGTCTTTTTCATTTTTATCGGTACCAGGGATCAAACTCACGACCACCTGCTTGCCAGGCAGGTGCTTATGCCACTGAGCTAAACCCCCAGCCCCTGGGAACAGATTCTTACCAGAGTGCCCTGCATACTTTCTGGGGGACCACAGGTGGCCTCTGACTTTTTGTTTGAGACAGAGTCTTGCTCTGTGGCCCAGGCTGGCTGTGAACTCAGAGATCCTCCTGCGTCAGTCTGCTGAGAACTGGGACTTTTTTTATTTTTATTTTTGGTGTAGGGGAAGGTAGCAGGCAAACGCTCCTCACTGTGCTGCAGCCCCAGCTCCCTGACCTAAGATTTCAACCTCATGACAGGCGAGTGGGAGCTTCAGTAGCTGCCGCTCTTTGAATTCTGCCATCTACCCACAGTCTCTCAGGATGCTGGGCGCAGCGAAGAGAGCGGCCGCCCTGGACCACAAAGGGGACCGGCTACCCCCATGGTGCCACGAGAGGCTGAGGCAGGAGGACTGCAAGTTTGAGCCCAGTCTGGGCGATTCAGTGACTTAGTGAGACCCTGTCCCAAAATAAAAATAAAGCTGGGCCATGTGTGGTACAAGCCTGTAATGGCAACACTTAGGAGGCTGAGGCAGGAGAATGGACAGGAACTTAAAGCTAGCATGGGACGCATAGCAGGTTCAAGCCTGCACTGCACACAGCCTACATAGCCTGCACTGTATATGGAGATGCTGTCTGAAAAAGCAACAATAAAACAATCAAAACAATGGCTGGGGAATGGAGTTCAGTGCAAAGGCTGTGAGTCCAAGTGCCGGCACTGCCCAGTGAAGTGACTCAAGGCCCCACCAGGGCCCAGCAGCCAGCCTGGGGTCTCCGGGGCCCAGAGCCCAGCACAGAGGAGCCGATGGTCACGGCGGCCTGTGGCCTGGGCCAGTCAGAAGCTCCAGGGCTGGCACTCACAGCCCAGGGCTGGGGGTGCAGTCAGCCTACTGTTTGATTTTCAGCGTGAGGTGGTAAGTTTGATCCTTGGTGCCAGAAACCAGTAAACAAATAAAACAAAGAGAAAAAAATCTCTAGGTAGATGGGCAAGGCACTGCACACCGCTGTAACTGCAGCTACTGGGGAGGCTGAAGCAGGAAGGCTGCAAGTTCAACCCCAGTCCACGTAGTGTCACCAGACACTGTCCCCACGCTGGGGACGTGGCGCAGCGCCGGAGTACCGCTGGGTTCAACCCCTGTACTGAGAAAAAACAAAGCAAAGCAAAGCAAAACTCCAGGTGAGAATTCTGGTGCCACGCAAAGGCTCAGACCCCTTCACGGGCAGGCCGGGTGGTGTGTGCCTGACGTTTGTTCCCAGGAGGCAGAAAGGTGGCAAATTTGGTTCCTGCCCCAGTGACTTATCCAGGCCCTGAATCAGAGGAGTGAGGAATAAAACCAACCAGGGCTGGGGTGTAGCTCAGTGGGAGGGAGGGTACTCCCGGTCCTCTCCCTGGGGGTCCCAAGGACAAAGCACCCCAGAAAGAATTTAAGGTCTGCTTAGAATCTACTTCTGAGCTTGGGAAGAGGACAGGTGTGACTTTGGGGGGACAAAACCCAGGGAGTGGGAGGCTGCTACTCACCATCCTGGGAGCTGTTACGGGTCCCTGCCCTCAGGGTGGGAGCCCTCCAGGGTCTGGAAAGGGGCCTGGGGCTGCGAGCGCTGGGCGGTGCTGGCTCAGGGGAGCCTCCTGAAGGGTCCAAAGAGCGGAGCTCACCTGGGGAGAGGCAGAGAGGACACTGGTCAGTCCTGTCCATTTGACACCCTTCATCTCTCCCTGCCCCAACCTGGGCAACCCTGGCTAGCACCCATCATCTGCCTCTTAGACCCTGCAGGCTGGTCCCCGAGCTGTACCCCGTCCCCTCCACCTGGTCAACCCAGGTGGCCACAGGGGCAACGCTCACTTCTTAAGTCCCTTCAGCAACAATGTTTTTTTTTATTTTTTATTTTTTTACCGGGGATCAAACACATGACCTTGTGCTTGCCAGGCCGGCGTTTGTGCCATTGAGCTAAGCCCCTGGCTCCCACCGTCCTCTTCTTTTTGTTTCTTTTTTTACTCTTTTTTTGAGACAGGGTCTCACTACACAGTTCAGGCTGGCCTTGGCCTCACTTTGTAGCCCAGGCTGGTCTCAAACTCGCAGCAATCCTCCTGCCTCAGCCTCCCCAGTGCAGGGATGACAGGCATGCACCACCATGTCCAACTCAGCCTTCTTTTTCTTTTTGTAGAACGAATAAAGTAAAAAACGGTGGCCCAGAGCCACGCTGAGCATGTGTGAGGCTCAGGGCTCCGTCTCTAGCACCCGAAAAAGCACAGGCTGATGCTGTGGGCATGGAAACTTGGAATTTCACAAAGTTACTATCTTGTGCAAAATAGTGTTCTTTGTGATTTTTTTCCCCTGGGACCCACTGGACCTGGCTAATTACATCTCCTTTAAAATCAAGTCCATGTGACCACTGCCTGCCTCTAGAGGGGGCCCCCCTCCTCTCCCAGCTGTGCAGTCCCCTGGGCTGTCCCCAGGGGCCAAAGGCAGCTGGCCTACACCTGCTGCTCGTCTGCCTTCTGGTCCCCTCTATCCTGACTGCGCTCCCCTCAGCTGCCTGCTGGTAGTCAAAGCCACCTCCAGCACCCAAACTAACACCCTTGAGCCAGAGGTGCTGCTCAACAACAGAGCGCTTGCCCAGTGTGGGAAGGGCTTGGGTTCGACACCTGCACAGCAAGGAGAAAAAATTAAGTGGCTTCTCCTGAGTGTTCTTGTCCCACCACCCTGTTTCTTTTTTCTTTTTGGGGACAGGGTCTCGTTATGCAGTTTGGGCTGCTGTTGAACTCACTTTGTAGCCCAGGCTGGTCTCAAACTCACAACTACCTTCCTGCCTCAGCCTCCCGAGTGCTGGGATTACAGGTATTTGCCACCACGACCGGCACACATCACCCTGTTTCTATTTATTGGCACACAGGCTGGCTTTCTGGGCAGGTTATCCGTGCTGCATTCTCCAAATCCAACACAGCGCCTAGTTCCTGACGCATCTAACTGGGTAATAGAGTCAGATATGTGGCATGTTCTTGTAACCCTGGGACTCAGGAAGCTGAGGCAGGAGGGTTGCAAGTTAGAGCCCAGTCTTGGCAACTGAGACCTTGTTTCAAACTTAAAAAAAAACAAAACAAAACAAAAAAACAGAGAGAAGACTTTTAGGTCAAATAAAAGCAAGTTTTAGCGTACAATAAGCAAAGACACTCAACTGAACAACAGGGACCAAGCGAACAGTGGCCAGTCTTCTCTGTCCAAGGCCAGGCAGTAAATATTTCTGGCCTTTTGACCCAGAAAAACTTTTCAGCAACTCAGTGGTGCCTATTGCCAGACACAGACAACATTCTCCTTTATTCCCCCACAACCATTAGAAATTTAAAACCATTCTCAGCTTGGGCACTGTACAACATTCTCTGTTTTGGCCTGCAGACCTCGTTTCCGGGCAATGCTTAGGAAACCTGGGCTGTAATACTAGCAGCCTATCCACCTATTTGCTTGTGCACTGACTTCAGAGGGCCAGGCACCGCGAATATTCAGTCTGACACTGCCAGTGTAGCACCTATTCAGTTACTATCATCTGCAGGTAAGGATGGAAGCCATGGGCGGCTCGGGGACGTGGGTGGCATCAGAGATGCCTCAGAAATCCTTGTGGAATAGGGGGCAGTAGTGGTGCAAGTCCTAGAGGAAACTGTCCCACCACCGACCTGGCCCTGTCTTGCTCTTGGGTGGGAGCTACCCAAGGTCCATGCCACTCTAAAAATCTTAGCCAACAAAATAATTTACATGCCAGGCTTTGGGGTCACAGCTCCCCAGGCGGAGGCCTCGGTCCCCCTGCACTGCATTCTTACTGGGGAACAGTGGATATAGGGACATAGCTGACTTCCCTGGGTTGCTGTCACCGAACAAAATCCTTGCATAGAGGACAGCCAGCTCACAAGAGCCGTGTGATGGTGTGTGTGTGCGCGTGTGAGAGACAAGGCAGAGAGTCTTAAGACGGTTGTCACTCTACAGCCTGCAGCACGGAGCTCTGATCTGTGCGGCCAGGCTGCAGCCGCTGCCTGCGTCCGCTGCTGGCTCTAGCTAGGCTCTGAGATCTGCAGCTGCCCAGCTGCCCGCCTCAGGAAGCACCACTAACTCTCTCCGAGCCTAGGTTTGCTCGCCTGGGAAGCAGGGGTTGGTGGAAGCACCGATCTGCTAACGCCACCCTGCGGCCCCGACGCCGGCAGCTCCCGGCGACTTCTCACGCCCGCCGGCCCTCAAGCACCAGCACACCGTCTTCGCCACCATCAGCGGGGAAGGGGCCTGGGGTTTCGCTTTCTAGAGGGAACAGGAGCCCTTCGGGCGTGACGGGGACTGGAGCTGGGAGGGGACCGGGGGACCTCGGTTAAGGGTCGCAGCGGGGACTCGGGCCGCTTCCAGGCTGAGGAACCGCGTCGCCCGCCGGGCCGCCGCACTTACTTGCCCTCCGCCTGACGTCACGTCGCCACTGTGCCCGGAAGTGCGCCCGGGGGCGGGCAAGTTTGCGCAGCGCCCGCCTCCCGCGAGGCAGCAGCGCCGCGCTGATTGGCCCAACGGCGAACATAACGCGAGAATAAGCCAATCCAGGTTTGCCTCGCCCCCCGCCGTGCTTACATCACTGTAGCACCCTTGCTCCCCGCCCACCAAGCGAAAGCCAATCCGAAGACCGCTTCCTGACCCGCCCACCCAAGAGTGCGGTTTTACTTCCTTAAATCCCAAGGAGCTTGGGTTAAGTGGAGACAGGTGTGAAGGCAACCGGTCAGGGTTTTTTTTTTTCTCCAGGCCACAGGAATGCCTTGGTCACCGTGGTGGGATTCTTACTGGAACTGGCATCGAAGTGGGACGATCAACCCTTGAAATCTTTTCCCAGTAGTCTCAGATGGGAACACAGTAGCCCAAATTCTACTCACCCAGCCTTTTTCAGAGCTGTGGATCCAACCCTGGGCCTGGCGCCCGCTAGGCCAGTGCTTCGCCAGTGAGCCACACCCCCCCGCCCTTTTTATCTACTTAGTTTTTGAGGTGGAGTCGAAACTTTTATAGCTTTCAACGATAAGAGCCCACTGTGGCACGCATGGAATGAATTTACTACCACTGGAGAGTTTAGGATTCTCCTGTCTCAGCCTCCTGACAGGCTTTGAATTATTGGGAGGGTAGCGCTCTGCCTGGACTTGTCCGTATCAGAGGGCCAGTTAAGCTGTGCCCAGATTCATAAATTGCATCGGCTCTCTTGCACCACTGAACCTGTGGTTTGTTAGGTGACGACTCAGTTTATTTCCAAGTAATAAAGCAACATGAACAAAAGCAAACTACAGCAGGCACTCACACCACCTGGAGGTCAACAGAAACTCAATTTTGGGCCTCCCTAAGACTCTGGTTATTCAGGACAGCAGTCACTATTAGTGTCTGCAGGGAACTCCTCCAGGACCTCAGAGGACGCATCTCCTCTGAGCCATCTCCCTGTCATCTACACCATCAGAACTGTCAGCATAGAACCTAACCTCCCCCCACAGGCTTTCAGTGGGTTGTAGATTTCCTGTGACACTGAACACGATGCCTCGTTATCACTGGTCACTATTGCAGTAGGAGTGTGGCCAAGTCAAGTTTTGTTCTTTAGGACTCTCTGAAACCCACTGTGGGTGTTTTTCATCTGTGGCTGATGTAATCCATGAATATAGAACTCACGGACAACACGGAAACCTGCCTACATTTTATTTTTTCAGCTACTTTGGGGGTGTGACAGCTTGTGTTGGCAGGGAGTCATCCTGGTGACCACTAAATAGAGATCAGATACGCTAGGCATCTTCTTACAGCGCAAGAGACTGTCCCAGTACAAAAACATTCAAGTCCTCCATGCCAGTAATGCTGAGGTGAAGAAGTCCAATGCAGTAGCACACACTGTAATCGCAGCACTTGGGAGGCTGAGGCAGGAGGATCCTGATCGGATTATTTCCAAAAGATGAAAAATATTTCCAAAAGATGAGAAGTATAAAACAAAAAGCGGCCTTTATTCTGAGAACACGGAGATGACCAGCACCCCCCACTGCTGGCATCCAGCCAGCAACCTACCTCTCAACCTACCAGATGGGTTAGGGTAGAAACATTTGCACGGTAAGGCAGAATTCTGAAAATTAAATGTGGGATTAGGAGGAGTAAAGTTATGAGAGGTGCTTACTCCCCCATCTGAAAGCATAAAAGTTAAAAATGCATGACGTTGGGAGTCTGTAGGCAATACTGCTTAAGAGTCCTGCTGTAAAAATGATCATTAATAGAACGTAAGGAATTAGGAACCAAAGTGGATAACAAAACATGACAGCCTGTGAGTCGTGGCCGTGAGGCCTTGGTAAGGCAGAGATGAGCAGGAAAAGGATGGTCAGTTCTAGGGCCTGAGTGATGAGAAACCAGAATGGCAGTCTAGCAAATTTGATTGCTCTCCTTGGAATGCTTTGCTGTAACAGAACTTTAGCAAGTATATCAGCAGTTTCTCTGGTTGTGAGAAAGACTTTTATGTATCCTGAAAAAGTATAAACAAAGTGAGAAGACAAAATGTATCTGTCAGTCTTGACTAGGGTTACCTGAGAAATTGGTAAATAAGAAAGGAAGGGGGTGGTCTTATGTTACTGAGGAGAGGTTTACTAGCGATAACAGGTGGAAGCTGTTGAGGCCTCAGTGTGTCTATGTCAGCCTGTATATTTAGGACTGGGACCTGTATGAAATAGGTCCTGTTTAAAAATGGCATAGGTTGGCCATCAATACCCCATCATAGAGATTGAAGACTTAATATAGCAGCCTAAAAACTCAGGAAAAACTCTGTATATATGGCCTCTATGTCCACAAATATAGAGAATGTCTTACCTGAGAGTTTTAGTGCGACTTGGACTCTGAGACGGACACCCACAAAGGGGGCTGTTGGCCCTGAGCCCCCCCAGTCTTCGGCAGCAATTTTCTGTTGGCGATGAATCTGGCAGTGTCAACGTTTCCTGTGAGGGCTAGAAGTTACGGTGGCTTACCCACTCTCTGGTAGCTAGGACAGTCCAGTAGCCCTGGAGTAAGGTCTCAAACATCGCCAGGATGGGACATTTTTTTGCCCAGTGTCTTTTGCTGCATTTGAGTGTGGTCCATGGGGGGGGGCAGGCAGCTCCACCTTGTGTAGGTTTACCTGCCTCAGAACTCCAAGTGTCACAAGTGTTAAAAATATGAAAAACCATATTAAGATCTCTCTAAAGTTTGAAGGTCAAGTTTTGCCTTTTTGTTTGGGATTTGGACTACAGTAGAATTAAGTAAGCATGTAGGAGTTTAATATTGGCATTTGAGATCAGAGTAGGCTTTGTCTGGATGGCACACCGCTTTTAGGGTATTGTGTGGAATTATATATTTAATAAAAAAGACTTTCATCTGCCCAAAAAGGCTTTAGTCTGCCTTTTGTCTTTTGGAGTAAAATCTTTTTTTTTTTATCTGCAAACTGTTGAGTTATTGGAGTAAAATCTTAATGGAAACATTTTGTAGTAAAGGTTTACCAATCTTATGAATAAATCTATGAAAACCGATCTAATATTTTCAAATTCTGAACACATTTATTTGTTTTTAAACTTCAGGGGCGGGCTGGGACTGCCCCCAGAAATGTGTAAGGCAGCAGGGACTATGGCATACTGGGGGAGGGAGGGGCTGAGGGCGCATGGGGGAAGGGCTGGGAGGCAGCCCAACGAAGCGCAGGAAGCTGGAACTGCTGGTGGGGCTCGAGGATTAGAAAGCCGATTTAGGAACACAGCTGGGCTTTGATTAGCCTCCTGGAACTGTTGTAAAAGTTTGTTATAGTTAGTATGCTTGTCCTGCTCTGGCACAGCTATAGGCCCAGGGTCATTATCGGCAGTGTTTACCTTATGTCTGTGATCAGCTTCTTCTTGAGCTGCTTGCCACAGCTGATTTCACTCTTGTGAGCTTAGAGTGGTATTTAGAATCACATAAACATCCTTAAAATGTAAATCATAACAGTAATAAATTCAAATTGCCTGATATAATTTTGTGGGTCAACAGAAAAGCTACCTAATTTATGGGTAATCTGAGATAGATCAGAACGGGAAAACCACACATGGATGTTAACAAGTCCCTCGGGGCCAGTTTGCTCCTGAAGTGGTAGCAGAGCCTGAGGAGAAGATTCCGGAGCACAGGACCATTGGGCAGCCATCCGTCCGGTAGGTGCGCGTGAGCAATTGTCTGCAGAGCAGCTACAGAGCTGCTGCCAGTCACCCTAGGAAACACAGGCAGATAGCGTCTCACTGTATGCCTTGCAGTGAGAGGACTGCTATTGGCAGCACAATGAAGCATCATGTGCACTGCAACAGAGTGGCTGTTGCAGTTCACAAGAGGAGCCACAAGGGGGCGCCTGTTGACAGTGAGGGTCCTGGGAACATGGCGGTGCCATGCCACGTGGTGGAGGGTTGCAACATGGCGACCATTCCCGGTGCAAGCTGGAACAGTCATGCAGCTTGCTGGAAGGCCATAGCGATGGAGACCTAGTATGGTGGGCGGGTGGTGAGAATGCTGCAGGGGATAGAGAATTTTCAGGAGAATAAGAAGTCGGAGACTGCGAGGAAGCGCTAACAGAGGCTCTCCCAGCACTGGGAGAGTTAAGGGTCCCAGGAGATGGAGCGGGAGAGGATCGCACATCAGGAGATAGCTGGACACAGAGGGATTAGAGCTGCTGGGAGAGTTATGGGTCTCCAGACGGAGGGGAAGAGGATTGCACCGCGGGAGATAACAGCGAGGAACCATTTTGGGGATAGGGAGATGGCAGCCAGGAAAACACTGGAGGGCAGGACGGAAAAGTTTGCAGCAGCGCGGTAGAGTTAGCTAAAAGTATCTCAGCGGGAGCGCAAGACTTAATGAGAGACGGGTGTGTTCTCAGAATAAGAAAGGCCTGAATATAAGGGAGTTCTAATAACTTGTCGCTGGCCTGACAGAAATCATACAAATTCCTGAGACTGCAGGGGTCAATTTTTAGAGTACGTAAATTGGAAATTAGGCATTGTAAAGGCATCTTTTGCGAGTTAGAAAATGTGTTTCCCATGACTGATTCAGGCAAGAAATAAGCTGTGGTCCAGAACAAGCCGTCACTCGTTTGTGGCACCACATGGTGGCTAAGGTTCCAAAAACTTGTATATTCCAGTCATCACTGAGAGATTTACCAGTGGAGCCCAGCGAGGGGTCAGTAAGAGTTTTGCTCGTGAAAGCAGGAGGCTATAAGGGAAGTGAGGGCCTTTCAGTGTGGGCAGTCCAAAAATCTCTGCTTTGGGCAATCCGAACCCAAAGAACGAGAGAGATTTTAGAGTTCGGACACAGGTTTGCCCAGAAAGAACCCTGCCCTGGGCTGTCCTGTGAACGGGGACAACAGAACGGGGGCAACAGTCGACTGGGGCTGCCCAGTGCCAAGAGTTCCCCGGGGAGTGCTCACCTGAAATCTGGCCCACGGTGAGTGCAGGCGGCTGGTGACAAGGACGTCTCAGGAGAGGAAAAAGCGTGGGATCAATCCAGGATGTTATCTGGTTTGTGAATCGGCTGGGGACTCAACTGGCTGTGTCCCAGGAATCAATCTCACGGCACCAAATGATAGGATTATTTCCAAAAGATGAGAAGTATAAAATAAAAAGCAGCCTTTATTCTGAGAACACGGAGAGAGATGACTAGCACCCCCCACCACTGGCATCTGGGGATCTCTATGGCCGACTCCTGGCGTGGTGGTATATAAGTAGCCCCGGTTTGGGGTGGAACCTAAGGAGGGCTTTAGTGATGCACTAGTAGCCCATTGGTCCTAGGTTTCGCGCCATAAGTAAATTCCCAGGGGTGGGGAAGATGTCGTCACAGGTAAATTCCTAGGGGTGGGGGCAATAGGGGCTTCCTGGTTCCGGTTACAGTGTCCCCCCTGGGCCAAAAGCCTTTCAGATCCCAAGTTCAAAGCCAGCCTCAAAGGCACTTTAGCCAGACCTTGTTTAGGAAGAGAGAGAAGGGGAGGGAGATAGGAAGGGGAAGGGAGGAAGGGGAGGGGAGAGAGTCACAGGGGGGAGAGTGTAGAAATTCTTGCTCGGTAGTATAGAAATCAAAATAGCAGCTCAGAATGGAAAGAAAGTTGCGCGCGGGGGGGGGGGGGGGATGCGGTGACGATGCCACATGGGCTGAAGAACCTGCCCGCAAAGGTACAGAGTTTAAAGTGTGCAACTCTGGGCTCCTAAATCCAATAGTGTCCTCCATCGCGTTTACAGCTTGGACGTTGTTCTGGGTGGATGCAATTGATTTGCTGGCTTCAATCCTTTCCCCCCTCTGTGTTTAACTACATCCCGCACACCCACGTGGGGCACCAGCCTCAACCGGCCCGGGCTTGCCCATGGGGTCACCTAGGGAAGTCCCCATTCCCTCCACTTTCATCCAGGTTCCAGCTCGGCCCCTGTGGTGAGTCGCTTGAGTTTCTGGATATCAGCTTCTTTTCTGGTGAGATGAAGACAGTAACACCCACCTCCTGAAGCTGCTGTGGATCCCTGTCATCCCTCTCACTCCCAGGCCCGCCCCGCTCCAGGATCTTTAAATCCTCAAAGCCACCTCTGAATAAGGGTCGAGAACTAGACACTGGGAAACCGAGGCTGGGGGAATACGATCTCGGTTGTGAGAAAAACCATGGCTTAGAAGGCAAGGGTCTTCTCGAGAGTCTCCTTGACGGGTTCTCCGCCTCAAGTAGGCATCCAGATAAGCTCTTCGTGCCTCTAGAGCAACTCAAACCCTAACGCTCCAACACTTTGCGACGCTAACTCAGACACTCAAAGCGACTTCCGCTTCCGCCAGGGTAACGCTTGCCCAGAAGCGCATGCGCAAACGCGCGCGCGCCTGGGGGGAAGCGGGCGTGGCTCAACGCGCAAACCCCACCCCCGCCCATAAGCGGCGCATGCGCAAAGGCGCGCGGAAGCCTTGTCTCTGCGTTCAAGACCCCGCCTCTACGCCGGCATGGTTGTCACTGCAATAGGGGGCGGGGCAAGCCTACGGCAACTCTCCCGCACTCATGCCCAGAATAAGCCCTCTGCTTCCGGAGCTGCCCTGAGCTTTTGTTGTTCCTGCGTTCCCTCCCGAGCTGGCAAAACTTTTTATCCTCAAACACGTTTTGACTCCCACGAAAGGAAGATCTGGCTATGATTAGATGCTGGCGGCTTCTTCACCCTGTAAAGAAGTCCCAGTGTTGATCCTGTTCATTTACATACGCATCGATAAACAACAGCAGAACCCCGAAAACGCTCCTGCCTTGGGGTGCTGTATAATTTATTAGGGGCATCTATAATTTATCTGACGTCTCCAAGCCAGATCTTTGTTTCGGCAAAATCGTGACCGGGCAAGTTGGCGCGGTGAGTCAGCGGTGACTAATCCCATTAGGAAAGCGTTCTTTCCCAGCAGGGTCACCACAGGACGTCTCTAAATAGAAAATCTCCCCTGGAAGTTTGAAAAAAGACGCATTGGATAGGAAATCATTTCGGGTTCCAGGTCCTCCTTCCTGCTTTCCGCACAGCTGCACCGTGTACGATTGGGTAGAATCGCGTGCCCTGAACACGGGGGGCGCCTGGGGACGTGGGAACAGGCTGAAACCCACGGGCGGCGTCGTGCAAGCTGCGGGCGCCAAGGGCTCCTTCTGCTTCCTCTGTCAAAGCGGGTGCCTGGTCCTGCTGGCATGGGGTTTCCGTGTGCCAGGTGCTTTCCCACACGATATTGGTACAGTGTCTAGATTGGCATCAAGAGCCGGGCGTGGTGGCATATGCCTGTCATCCCAGCACGCGGGAGGCTGAGGCAGGAGGATTGTTGTAAGTTTGAGATCAGCCTTGGCTGCACAATGAGTGCAAGGCCAGCCCAAACTGCATAGGGAAACCCTGTCTCAAAAAAAAAAAAAAAAAAAAAAAATCACATCAAGGTTTTTGCACAGCAAAAGAAACCCCTACGTTATCTAATTTCTTGCAAGTAAGAGGTTGTTAATTCCATGTATTATTTTGTGTTTTTGAGACAAGGTCTTACTGTGTAGTTTAGGCTGGCGCCGAACACACTACATGGCCCAGGCTGGCCTTGAACTTGTGGTCACCCTCCTGTCTCAGCCTCCTAAGTTCTGTGATGACAGATGTGCGGCAGCATGCCCTGCTGGTTTTTCTTTTTAACTTTATGGGTGAAACTTACAACATTGAACACTGATAAAATTCTTCACAAAGCTTCCCTCTCTCTGCACACCGCTCAACTCTCTGACTTGGAAACCACCTTTCTGTTCCTTTAGAAAACCCCCAAGTGACTGACTTTGCTTCTGGACTGACTGGACTGCTTCTGAGTGTTGCTCTCGAAGGAGCCTGGAGGAAACTTACTGTGACACACTTGGCAATAAGTGTATCAGTTTCTTTATTTTTGTGTAGGAGATGATTTAAGAGAAAGCACATCAATCAACCTCAGTTATTTATAAATAAAATTAGCTTCAAGCTGCCACATTCCTCTGCACGGTTATTCAAATAACTGTGGGAAAGGATGTTTGGTGTTTTATTAGGGGATGATGGAAAACAGCCTAGGCCTAAACTGGTGGTTTTTGTTTTTTGGCTTTTTTTTTTTTTATAATGCAAATTCTCCTATGTAGTTCAGGCTGGCCTTGAGCTCACTGTGTAGCCCAGGCTGGCCTCAAGCTTACAATGATCCTCCTGCCTCAGCCTCCCGAGTGCTGGGATGACAGGTATGCACCACCATGACTAAACTAGTGAAATTTAAAATGGAAAATCTTTTACCTCTTAGGGGTGGCACAGTATAGTTGTGAAGAGGGAACAGGGTGTCTGGTTGGAGCTTTTTCTCTGCTCTGTTTCTCTGAAAATAAGGCCCAACTGGAAACTAATCAGTCTTGAAAACTAGAATCAAAACTGCCAGCTCTGAGCCAGGCATGGTGCACACGCCTGTGAGCCCAGCACTGGGGAGCCTGAGTCAGAAGCATTGTCGTGAGTTCAAAGCCAGCCTGAACTAATGGGGTGATCCTGTCTGAACAACACCCAGCCGAACCCAACCTAGCCCAAAGAGCCAACCCCAGTCAGCCTGTCCTTCCCTTCCCTGCTGTCATTTTTCTCTAGTGTGATGGCAACTCCGTAAGGCGGATTATTATCCCCCAGGAAGAGGATTTAGACTCCGTTTATATATTTGGGAAGCACCCAGGAAAAAGTGCCCGAGATGGAGTTAAACAGGCAGAAAAGCCTTCAACCCCGTGTGAGGCTGAGGTGCATCTTAGCAGCGTAACCCTGGCCTGGCACCTGCAAGCCCCGGGGGTTGGCCTCTAGCACCCTCTGCCCCCAACTGCTGCATGGACCCACAGTGGAATATTACTCAGCGTTGAAAGTAAGAGGTCCCGAAAGGCCGGAAGCATGGGTGTGTCAGAGAGCTCCTACTGTGCTGTTTGGTGTGAACCGCCAGCGTCCATCTCTCATCGTGCAAAGGGCTGAGAAGTTTAAAGTGTGGAGGGGCCAGTGGCTGGCACATGCCCTTGCCCGCCCTCCCTGCCCCCTCATCCGGGACAGCTGCCAGGTGTGGTGGTGCAACCTGGCGTCCCTGCACTCGGGAGGCTGAGACGGGAGGGTCGCCAGGAATTGGAGCTCAGCTACACTGTGACCCTCAGCACCCCTCCTCCGCATTTCCAGGACTCTGTCCACAGCGCCGCCTGTTCGCTACACTGCCACCAGGGGGCGCCTTTGCCTGTATGTGTTAGCAAAGTCTCGAAATTCATATGTCCCTTGGAGTTGAGTCACAAAACAAAATCATACATATCAGCCCATTTAAGGTATTTTTTCTGCTGCAGTACTCGAGTTTGAACCCAGGGCTTCCCGCTCCATCCTCGGCCCCTTTATTTTTTATTTGGAGACAGGCTCTCCATCCGCTGCTCCATTGTATAGCATGAGCTTGACCCTGTGATCTTTCTGTCTCGGCCCCTGGAGGGCTGGGATTACGGGTGTGTGACCCCCAGAAAATCAACTCACTTAAAAGCCACAACTAAGTTACTATGTGTGGTGGCGCACATCTGTCATCCCAGCACTCGGGAGGCTGAGGCAGGAGGATCATTGTGAGTTCAAGGCCAGCCTGAACTGCACCGAGAGACCTTGTCTCAAAACAAACAATTACAAAAAGCCCCAAATGAAACAACCAACCAAGAAAATAAACACAAAGATTCAATCGGGGGACAGTCAGCGCGCTCACGATATTGGAGAACCACCTTCTCCAGGCAGTGCTACAAAATTTTCATGGGCCAGCAGGAAATGCAGCCCTCGGGGATGTGTGGGTCACTGGGGAAGTCGGCCAGCCACGGTTCCGGAGTGCGGGGTGCGTCCTCGCCGTGCCCTGGCAGTGCCCAGCTTTGCTTGTCTCCTTACGAGCTGGGCATTCAGTGATAAAACAGGACCCCTGATTAGTACCCAGACAATCGCTCATTGCCAGTGTCATGGCCAGAGGGCGAGGCTGTCTCCGTCTGTGTTCTCTAAGACCGGGTCTTGCTATGCTGGGTAGAGGGGGCCTTGAACTTGCAGCGATTCTCCTGCCTCAGCCTCCCGGAGTGCTGGGATCACAGGTGCTGCTGGTTTCCCAGTTTGTGGGCCTGGCCGTTGCTCGCGCCTGAATGGGCATCCGTGTGCGCCCACAGGAGGGCGCCAGAGCTCCACCGCTCCACACCCCCAACCCACCCCCACCCCCTGGCCGCAGTTGAGGGTGTGTGTGGAAACCTCTGCTCACTTCCGCCTTTGAACCCGGACCCAGACCGATTTTGTAGCGCGCCCCTCGGTTCGGGGTTGCTGCTGTATTCTAAAGGTTGAGTTCATGTCACGCTTTTTTGTGTTGCTAGTTATTTTGAGACAGGGTCTCACAGTGCAGCCCAGGCTGGCCCAGGCTGGCCCAGGCTGGTCTCCAGCTTGTGGCTATCCTCCTGCCTCAGCCTCCTGGAATGACATGTGCGCACGCGCCCAGCGGTGACCTTCAGTGTCCTCTGACCACATCGCACCTGGGGGAGCCGGGATCCCATTTACCCACGCACGTCGGGAAGGGGGGCTCCACGCGGCTGGATGCAGTGGGAGCTCGTTGGCGGGAAGTTGGTCCTGAGCACTCGCCCCTCCGCGGTGGTTCACCCCGTCAGGGTCCGGGGGTGGGGGTGCAGCGGCTTTGCTCTGGGAAGAAGGTCGGAGAGCCATAAGTTCAAGCCCAGCCGGGGCCACTTAGTGAAGCTGTCTTAGAGCACCCCTGCAGGAGGTGGGGTGAAGCTGTGCTGACACTTCGCTCTGCGGTAGACCCTTGGTGATTTATTTATTGGGGTGCTAAGAATAGAAGCCTGTGCTGTACGATAGAGCCCCTCGTATTTTATCCAGAGACCTCCCTGGCTGGGTTTCGAGGTTGCCTTCGAACTTCAACCCTCCTGCTTCAGCCTCCCAAGGAGTGGGCTCACCCTGACGCCTCATTTTAGCATTTACTGGTTTTGAAAACATTTTCTCTGAAACTAACCATGACTGTCCGCCTGGGTTTCCTTATGGTAGTGAAACACATAGACGGGGCCATTTCCCTGCAGCAGGGTTTACGAGGCACGGTCACAGGGGCAGCGCGTTCCCATGGTCACACGGCCGTCACTGCTGTCTCCAGGATGCGCTCAGGTCCCAGGGGAAACTTTGCACCCATTAGAGCCCCGGAAACTCCCCGCCCCTCTCCTGGGCCGCTGCCCTTTCGGGATCTGTGAACTGGATCCGAGTGAGGACAGCTTTGGCCCTCTGTGCCCAGAAGCCAGGGCCATAGATGCCCTCCTCCTGCGCCGTCTCCTGCCGTCCCCTCCCCCTCCTGCCCTCCCCTTCTCTCCTCTCCCCTCCCCTCTCCTCTCCTTCCTCACCCTCCCATTCCCTTCCCCTCCCCTCCCCCTCTCTCCCCCTTCCCTGCCTCCCCTTCCCTCCCCCAGTCTGTCCTTTCCAACACCTCCCCCACACTCACTGTCATTAGACTTCTGGGTCTCCTGGGTCTCTCCCTGCACCTTTTCCTGTCTCTGCTCCGAATCTTCTCACCCGCAAGACGTTTTGGCTAAAAATAGGCCGCCTCTTGCTCTGCACCAGGTGGGGACCGTGGGTTCTGCTCCCCCTGCTGCAGAGGAGACCCCTGGGGCGATCTCTGGGGCTGAGCTGGGCTCCTCGCAGTGCCCTGGGCAGGGTGCAGAGGGCTGGGGCAGGGTGGGTTCCTGCTGGGTCTGGCTTGGCAGCAGGCAGCCCCAGGAATTGAACTCAGGTCTTTGCACGGAGCTGCATTCCTGCCCTTTAGGAGAACTGTTCTGTTTTTGGGGGCCTCGCTCAGTCCCTGGGCCCCTACTTTTGCGCTTCCTGCCTGGGCTTCCCAGGGTGCAGGGTGACAGGGGTGCAGGGTCACCACTCCGAGGAGCAGAGGAGCAGCCTGGGTCACACAGGGCTGTGTGGACTCCCTGGAAGCTCAGCCCCTGACTGACCGAGGTGGGCTTTGCTGTTTCCCGGCCAATTCCAATCCCACAGTGTGACCCCAGCTTCCGCATCAGTCACCAGTCCGGCCCGAGCCTCCCATGTCCTCTGGACTCCGGATGCCAGATGTGGCAGGAGAGGTCACTGCCAGAACCTGATGCCGGGGTGCTGGTGCAGGTGTGTAGTCCCAGCACTCGGGAGGCCGAGGCAGGAGGATCTCCTCAAGTCCAAGGACAGCCCGGCCTAGGTGATGAGTTCCAGACCAGCGTGAACTTCAGAGTGGTTCAAAAAGCAAAAAAAGAAACAAAAGCTCAAATTTCTGACACTGAAGTGGCGGAGGGAGGCTAGGAGAAGTGGGGGTGAGAATTCAATAGCATCGCTGCTGCTTCTGTTTCAGTGACATTTGAGCCAGTGAAGGACGGCGTGTCCTGCAGGTGCCACGGAAGTGTGCGTGGCTCTGTCTGCATGGTGATGGGCTCTCAGTAAGCTGGCCAGGATGGCCTGTAATGTGCTATCTTCCTGCCTCAGCCTCCCCAGTGTGGTGCTAGGATCCCAGTGTGCGCCATGGCACCATGGCAGCTCGGGGGCAGAGGACGGACGGCCCAGTGCTGCTCCCGACCTGTAGCTGGGGAGAAGCCCCGGCTGTCCGCCAGCAGCGGAGAGGGTCCCGCACCCTGTGTGAGACTTACACAGTGGAGACACAGGCAGCTCCCGCAGCCTTGTGTTCTGGTCTGCCCACGCTGCCTGCCTTGGGCTCACGGCTTGCACGTGTGTCCTTCAGCGTGCAGACCTCACCTGCGACAATCCCCCTTGGGTCGCCTGAGCAGATGACACTCTCTAGGAGGGGAACCAACAGGCGGGGTGTCTAGAGCAGCAACCCCCCAGTCCTGCTGTTTATTCATTTTTAAGATTTGGTTTAATTTTAATTTTTAAAAAGATTTTTGGAAGTCCTGGGGGTTGAATGAGGCCTTCCACGCTGAGCTAATGCCTCAGCCCTGTCTATCCATCTAT